CCTCCAGCAAAACACAGCAATTAGCTCCAGTCTGAAAACTCATTTATACCATTTAATTTAATATGGTTCAACATTATTCAATTATTGTTCCAACCCAGAACCACAAGCCCAAACAGGACCCCAAAATTTGACAGATAATTCCATGATGAGAATTGGAAGATTGAATGGCGGAAACCCAGTGGAAAGTTGGATCTCAAGTTTGGCTTAAATAAGTTCCTCTCAATTCTTTCTGTCTGATAAAATTCATATTGGATCATGGGAGGCATTTATTGATGTTTTTTTTTTTTTTTTTTTCTGTTGATGCATCATTTACCGTTGGAGCATTTTTGACTGCTCTACGTGTCTCAATAAAGTCTGGTTGCCATTGCATTTCTTGAATGTCCCTATAAGTGAAATATTATACAACTTTGAAATATTTCACCCTGTGTTTTTAAGACTCTAGTTTTTGCTGTGTACTTAGATACAGCACTGGGAAAAAACTGGTCAGGATAAAACATAAATGCAAGGTCAACTTGACAAATGTTTTATTATTTGGTTTATTTGAGAAGGGTCAGATACAGAAAACAGAGACAGCCTGTCACTCAGTAGTCTGATGTACGCATCATGGTGCCTAGAGCCAAAGCTAATTCGCAGCACTTTTCCCTAGAATATGTCAAACAGTAGAAAAAATGACATTAAAAAACATGACAAGCACGGTCCGTGTACTTTTGGGTTCAGAACATATTCTGCAAAATAGCCTTTTTTCAATTTTCCATTTCCCTTCAAAAATAGAAAATGTATTGAATGCAAAAGTACACGGACCAAGCACAATAGAAAAATATCTGATCCATTCTGATCATTCTAAAAGCAGAATTAAACTGTCAAACCATGTTCCTTATCAGTTTCAAGATAAAATGTAACAACACACATAAGATACATTTGTACATTTTAAAAGCTGGTCTTTAACATTGACACTTTTAAAAGCATAAACACTGATTTGCAGAACTCCAGAGCAGAAAGAAATGAAAGTAACCACTTCAATCCATCCAAATTAGTTTCCATCTGAAGAGTGTTCTAAGAAGAAGCAGAAAACTGAAATCTTGATTTCTCATTTCAGTCCAACTTTGTGGAACATGTAAGTGGTAAATGTCATTTGAACGAAAATATTAGTGGCTCTTTGCGGCTCCAGGGAAGACGGATAAGACAGAACCAGGCCTGTAGGTATGGTGTGGTGTCCATACTCACAATCTTGTCCTTCCCCGAGGCTCACGACCATGGGTTTGTTTGTTTGTTTATTGGGGATCCCCATTAGCTTCCACCAAAGTGGTTGCTAATCTTCCTGGGGTCCCAGTTAAGACGACTGTATTACAAAAAATAAAATAAAATAAAAAAACAAAAAAATCAATACATTCATTAATACAGTACATTATTCAATACAATACATGAATTCACTACCATAATGTTAAAAGCATAGATCAAATAGATCAATTAGATCAAATGCCAAGTCAGCATCTGTAAACAACACAAGGCATCAAGGCATGAAGCCATGCATTATAATGATGCATTGCACATTTGATATTTGAGTTTTCTTTTAAAAATATGTAGAGAAGTTTGATCTCTCATCTCCCTAGGAAGCTCATTCCAAAGTTGAGTCGCTCTGAAAATAACAGTCCTTTTCAATGATTTTGTTCTGGGCCGATTGACGACCAAGTCAGCATTTTGAGCCTGCCTAGTAGAATGGGAGTGAATCTGATGTACATATGTGATTTTCTCAAACATTGAAATTGGTTCACCAGTAAGTATTGCTTTTTTCAGAAATATTAAAAGGCTATACTGTAGCTTATTGTGAACCAAAGGCCAGGATAAAATTTTATGCATTTTGTTTATACTGGTAAAATAAGAACAATTTAAAACCAGTCTTGCAGCCTTGTTCTGTACAACTTGCAATCTAGATATATCTGTGTTGCATGCAGCAGACCATATAATGGGGAAGTATTCAAGATTAGATAAAACGAGGGATTGGACCACCTGCTTCAAAATTGTTGTAGGTACAAAATAAGAGGTTTGGGTGAGAGTGGGAACGAAGACTGAACTGAGGGTTTTATCCTTTCATTGAATCAACTGTAGATCCGTCTGTCATCAATCCTCCACTGCGAATAAGAGCCTACAATACTTTAACTCCTTCTCTTAAGGAACACCGGTTTGATAGTACATTTTAGTATTTAAATGAATAACACCAATAAGAGTGGAGAAAGGGGGAGTGCAGGTTTTCATTCCAACCAAGCAGGAGCTCACCAGACTCCACTCATTACATATTGGAATCAGGTTCAGACTTGATGATAGATCTGCACTGTTTGGTTGGAATGAAAACCTGCAGTCCCAGTCCTTTATGCAGGAATGAGTTAGACACAAGTACTGGAAAATGGAATGACTATAGAATGTGGATTTTCACAATTTGTGTATTGGGGAAACCAGTATAGAAACAATGGAAATGGATGGATGGAGCTCTGTGCTGCTGTTTCCTCTGCAAAAACTGTGTGCGATTGTGTACAGATAATGCCTGTAAATTATTATGAACAACATCTTGTGAATTAACAATGTAAAAACCTGGTTAATCCCTTTATAGATGGAAATGATAAAAGAAATCTGATTTAAAATATTGTGGCCAAATCTATTTTTCAGATGGTGATAGTGACATGTCCGATCAAAATGATGATTCACAGAGGAACAGCCACTGTGCGAGTATTTCTTTAATTAGCCTCACTGCTGCACTATCTTAAGTCATTATATAAGACAAACAGCTCTGAGGCACAAACAATCAGGGAAAACTCAGACAGATGCTCATTATTTTAAAAGGCAGGAGGAAGCAGCATACAGGACAGGCCACTGGGGATGAGTCGTTTGGTCTAAAATACGACTTAAGAACAAGGATATTCTTTGTGTATATAAGAGGATAAAACATGTATACAAATACAAGCATTTTTATAATATATATTTTAAATATACTAAGATTTACTTACAGTGGTGTTGGGCTTTAACAGTATGAAATGTGAGAGAACAGTGACACCTAGTGGTTATTTGGAGCATAAAATAAAATTGATATAACTACAGTATATAGTTGATGTAGTGATTTGTTAAATATATTGAGGACATTTGTGGCATGGAGAACCACTGACAGTAACTAATGTATTTCATGCTAAATATAATTAATGTGAATTCAAGTAAATTAGATCATTTATGAAAAACTGTCGACTAAAGAAGATAGAGAAAAATGAAGAAACAGGAGAAAATAATCTCTTGAACAGAGCTTTAATACTTGAGTGTTCCCGAAACACTGTAAACAAATGGTTGCTTTTTCAGACAGACAGAAGCAGTAAGGAGACGGTTCATGCACAGGACTCCACTATAATTCAAGTTAGAACTGTAAACAAATATACAAAAATTATATGGCACGTTTTAAGCATTGGACTGTATCAAAACCAGACAAAAGTTTGAATGAATGTCTCGAGCTACTGTCTAAGCAGAAAGAGAATGTGTAATTAGACTCATTGTGGTTTTTGTGTTTGAATTCAGTAATTTGGGATCTAAAATATCAATTGAATTAAAATGATCTAGTTAACAGTGGAATGGAGTAAATCCAGGAACAATAGGAATTAAGAACGATGGGAACAAATGTGAAATTTTTAGATTTGATTTTTCAATATGATATTGTATTGAAAGGTTAATTGTTGCTCAAAGTAGACTGGCTTTGAGCGGGAACTTGACTTTGTGTGGCAGTTCAAAATGTATGGCCTTTTTTGCATACAGTCCAGAGGCTTTCTAACAGATTGTGGAGGATATGTGGTGCATCCAGAAAGAGATACTTTTGGCATAAAACACATGTTTATATCACAATATGCCCTTGCATGCAGATATATGGCCCATTCTACTCAACATAACTACTGAGGGTCTCATGTGGTGAGAATGTGATCCATATAGTGAAATATTTTAAGAACACGAGTGGATACCAGTAACAGGGATTTCAGTCGTGGCACAAGAAGTGAACAATTTAAAACAAGTTATACAAAAAAAGTCAATTTCCCTTTCATTGCAAGTATATGTATCAGTTCTATTTGATGCATATTTTTTCAAAATAATGAAACTATTTAATTTGTCATTTCATGTTTTAGAATTTGAAAAATGTACAGCAAAACAAGTGTGGGGTTTTTTTTTCCCAAATTTGAAAACTGCGAACACAGCCATGAGATTTTAAACAACGTAAGTTACAAAAACTAATTTCTGGGATTTACTTCTGTTTGTGCTACAATTATGTCATACCATTACAGGACTGAGACCAGAACTTTGGTGCCAGAATTTGTTGATATTAGCTCTAAAAAAACAATTGTAAACCGCTTTGTGACTCTGGTCTGTGAAAGGCGGTATATAAAGATTACTTACTTACTTAAAAACAACTAAGTCTGTTTTTGATGAGCAAATATAAAATGTTTAAAATATGTCCACACTGTTTAAATGCACAAAAAAGAACATTTCAAATAATCTAAGTACAGTCGTGTTATTATTAAGTGAAAGGGGAAAGCCCAGTAGCCGAACATAAAACAGATTTAGTTTTAACCCACTTCTCTCACATGTAAAGTGGAGCGCAGTTTCTTATTTGGTTGTCAGCCTCCAACCACCCTGTATCGCAAAATTAGCTTTATAGTACCCGTGCCATAGAAGTCTCATTTATATTCTATAATACAAGCAAACAGAAGGATGCAACATTTTCTTCATGTTTGTGATTAGGGTGAGGGTTTGGGAGCACTCCGAACAAGCTGGAGACATACAGGGCAGACAGGGTTCAAATGTCCTCTTTAACAAAGTGGTCGCAATTTATATTTTACATCAAGCAAAAGAGAAAAGCGCAGGATTGTACATGGTGACTGAAATATAATAATTTAAGTTTACTAATATATCTAATTTGCCATGTCACTTTTGCCTAATGTCTTTCTTGTGGTCTACTCCTCTTGTTTGGTCTGTGGGTGCTATAGTTGTCTGACCGGAGGCAGGTTGAGTGTCTCCAAAGCCGTGTGGAACAACTCTCGCAAAGCTCTTAATAAATACAGGCGACAGAACATTTGGTTGAACAGATGAGGCAACGGCTCCTGGAGGAAGAAACAAAGAGATGTCAGGTTGTTCTGGAACAGTTGCCATCACTTCACGATGACGAGATTTGGTGACACTTTACGTTAATGTTACTGATGACAACGGCCTCACAGTATTTAGTATACTATCATCACTTCATTCAGTATTATAATGATCCCTTTTATTGTTATTATCATTATTATTGTTATCATAAACTGTTATCATTTATTTTCTTGGTAGTTTGACATTTAATCCACTTGTAAATTCAAGGCCTCAAAGGAAAATGTCACAGAGAGAAATAAGGGTCACACTTAAGTAGCCGGTAAATAACAGCATCTTATGATGATCATATCCAACTCTAATCTTTATATATAACAGTCTAAAGTCCGAATATTAACGGTACAAGAAAAGATTTAATTTTATCTGAGTATAATGTTGATAATTAGCCAACAGCTGAGAAAATTTAAAATATTTAGAAAAAGGACTAAGCCAAAATCTTCAACAGTAAATCTTCAAACAAAGCTGTACATAATACCACTTTGCACTCTCAATCAATCAATCAAATGTTATTTATAAAGTGCTTTTCATACAGAAGATGCAACACAAAGTGCTTTACAGCTTGGTTAAAACAATCCCGCCCATGACCCCTCCCCCCGACCACCCAACAGACCCACCCCAAACTACATATATTATTAAGAACTCACACACACACAGACAAACACACACACACTCTCGCATACGCCCACACACACACGCTCTCATGCACACTCACAGACACACACACACCCACACTCTCGTGCACACTCATAGACACACACACGCTCTCATGCACACTCACAGACACACACACCCACACTCTCATGCACACTCAGACACACACACCCACACACTCATGCACACTCACAGACACACACACCCACACACTCATGCACACTCACAGACACACACACCCACACTCTCATGCGCACTCACAGACACACACACCCACACACTCATGCACACTCACAGACACACACACCCACACACTCATCATCACACTCACAGACACACACACCCACACTCTCATGCACACTCACAGACACACACACCCACACTCTCATGCACACTCAGACACACACACCCACACGCTCATGCACACTCACAGACACACACACCCACACTCTCATGCACACTCAGACACACACACCCACACTCTCATGCACACTCACAGACACACACACCCACACTCTCATGCACACTCAGAGACACACACACCCACAGACACACACACCCACACTCTCATGCACACTCACAGACACACACACCCACACTCTCATGCACACTCACAGACACACACACCCACACTCTCATCCACACTCACAGACACACACATCCACACTCTCATACACACTCACAGACACACACACCCACACTCTCATGCACACTCACAGACACACACACCCACACTCTCATCCACACTCACAGACGCACACACCAGTGAAACAGTAAAACACTCTCTGTCATATATTGGTTTCAAATGATGTTATTGGTGTTATTTAAAACAATAATCTACTTAATTCACCTTCGTAATTTATATTGATACTGTATTAATAATTATAATAATAATAGTAGTAAGAGTAGAGGTAGCGGTAGTATATATATATTTATATATATATATATATATATATATATATATATATATATATATATATATATATAATAAACATTGTTATTATTCATTAACAGTGTAAGAAAGACTTACCCCCAGTACATGGACTCTGTTGTAGTAGGAGCTGAAATCTTTACTCAAAGACACAAGGAATTTACACATCTGAAACACAACATGAGAATAAACAATGATGAAATAGAATAACATATTATTTATAGATAGAATAATCCGCCATGTGCCGACCTGTTCTGTTTTGACATTGAGTCTGGCCCCGCCCCCTTCACAGTCCACGGCTTGTCCCGATTGGTCGAGGAGCTCAGAGAAGGGAATGAGGTAATTGAACAGTAGTAGCCACTCGCCCTGAAGTCAGAGAGAAATAATAACTGGTTACTGCTATATTTCCCGAATATTTAAAAATCAGAAATACATGTAAAGCTGATATTATAAATGTATATAGTGAGTCAATGCAACTAATTAACTGACTGATTCAATGGTATGCTTTAACAGATATATTTTGTCAGAAAGACTAGGCACTGCTTTCACTGCTTTCCTGGAACTGTCAAATAAGATTATTTCTGACGTCTGATGTGAACTCGAGGATAGATACTGTACAACTTCAAGCAACGAGATGCTAACATGATTGCAGTTCAGTTAAATTGGACATTTTTACAGTTAAAAATTACATATATTTTCTGACCATTTTTCTTATTTTAAAAATATAGTACGAGTTCCTTCCTATTCGCCGTTAAAGAGCAATGAAAATAAAAAAATCTTTGTTATAATTCATCACTATGACCAGACCAATAATCAAACAGGTCTGATCTTACACATACCTCTTCTTTCAGAGCGGAGAAGTCCAGCTGGGAGCCATCTGGGATTTCTGGATACAAACCTACAAACAAGAGTGACATTTAAACCCCAAACACAATATGTATAGCAGTGAGACATCTACATTTATCTTATTAGCTGATTGTTTGGGTTTTGGTCTTGATTTAATTGGCCAAGTTCCCATAAGATCTAAATGCACATAACTGAGTGTTTTTTTTTTTTTCATTTCCATGTTAATTAAGCATGGCATGGATCAAACACATCTGGAGAAAGCTTAAAGATGGTATTATTCTTCTATATATTATTGGGATGAATTGCATTGGTGTAGACCTATAACAAAACTCTACAACATTAAGATAAATATTGTACCCTTCTCCACGCCTCTCTCGTAGCTGTCGAAGAGCGTGTGAAGCCTGGCGCAGTTGTACATGACAAACACGCCTCCTCTGGGCCCTTTGGTGGAGACGGAGCCCTCTCTGTGAACGTCCAGAGTCACCTGAACGCAGCACGAGAATCACATGCAAATGCACACGACCCACACCAAGGCAAGAGCGGGAGCCATCACTGTTTCACTTTTGTCGCTATAACCCAAAGTATTGACCACAAAAGGGTTGCAACAAGGTTAAACCATATATCACAGATAAAGCATGATTTCAAACCTGCCACATGCTGAGAAATAAGCTTTTATGACTTGAACAATGTTTTTGATCACATCTATAAATGTTGTCATGTGAAGAATTACAGCATTTATGAAGATTTAACTTGATAAAAAACATTCTCACGTCATTATATTGGATAACTACTAACAGATTATGCTGAAAACCCTACTGTTAATTGCATAGTCTACTTATTTATAATATGGACGAAAGCTACTTATAGTTCTCCAAATATTATACTTAATTATCTTGTTTATAAATGTATTTTTGAGTGCTCTATCTCCTATCTTATCCATCATATCTTATTTAAGAGAATCGTTATCATCATACTTTTAACTCCACTCCACCAAATGTGCACAAACCATGAGCTAGTACAAAGATACCCTGCCGCAGTGGGGGAAAAATAATATGAGTTTGTCCCCAAATGTGAGAGTCTCACAGTATGAGAGACAAAATGAGGGAAAACATAATTTATTTGCATATTTTGGAGGAAAATATGCATTTAGTCAGTATGAAAATTCCATCTCAATACTTTGTAATTGTGTGAAAAAGGGTATATAACAGGGCAAACAATCTGAAAGTCTTCACATGGTTTTCGTACAATGTTGCTAGTATTCTGGCCCATTCTTCCATGGAGATCTCTTAGAGAGCAGTGATGTTTTGGGGCTGTCATTGGGTAGTGCAGACTTTCCACTCCCTCCAAAGGGGAGACCTTGCAGAATTGGGTGGCTGACTAAATAAATTTTTTTGCCCTAATGTGTGTCTAAACTATAAGTGCAATAGAAAAGAAGAGACTCACTGGACTCGTGTGGACGGTCGACAGAAGCTCAAATCTGACTGTGGCAGCGGTCATGACTCTGATGATGTCATCCCAACTTTGACCTGAAATAAATAATTGTTATTCAAACACTAATGATGCAAACTTTAGTCCAGTTTGTGTCTCACTGACCCTCTACTTGGTCTCCATACTTCATCTCTGAGGCCTCCTTCATCTGCTCTCGTCTGAGTCTAATTCAAAAAATAAATGGGAAAGGCTTAGTCGAGATGTCAAGAAAAATACACATGTTATTACTTTTCAGCTTCAATGTAAAATCTAGGGTGAATTCACTTATTGGTCAACTGGTGAAGGTATACTTTATTGTCTGCATATTGTCTTCTTCATTTGAACATCCATCAATACCACGAGGGCAACCTGTCTGGTGCAGTGGTTGCTACAGAGCAGCGCCCTTTAGTAAAATACAAATGTGTGTGTATGTGCATTGGATTGTAGATATAAACCCCAAAAAGCATTTCATCCGTCTACCTGATGTACAGTATGTGCTAAATAAATGATGTTGTAAAGGTGGACAATCATATTCCTTACTGTAAATACTGAGCGGCTGTGAGTTGAGATCCTGGAGTCTTCACTGGACCACACACCAGGAATCTCTGCAAAATGATTTACTAAGTGATTTTCAAGGCTGTACAGAGAAATGTTTGAAATAAATGCCAAAGAACAATCTATCATTACCAATAATATTGTTGCTCGCCAACAGTACTTCAAGATTGTACTGTTGGCAAGCATTAGCAGTAGGTCACTGAATAACACATGTGGAGGTGGGACTAATAGGTTGCCTGGGTGTCCGTGCTTTTCGATCCAATTGAGTAAGTTCATATAAACCAGGGTAACTTTAGACTAAAACATCAAATTTATTCCTGCCTTGATAGTGGAAAGTTTAGGACTATAATCCAAACAGTTGCAGCCTTGATTATACATTTAACAAACACAAGTGCCTATACCTCATACAGCCCTTTATTTATTAACATTACACTCTTATTTTATCATTTTGAATTTAATTCTAATTCTACAGAACATAGACAGGAAGGGTCACCTGTGTGTGTGTGGCACCACCCGCTTTCCACAAGACGGCGACCTGCTGCTGCCGGAACTCGTCCTGACAGGACGTTACATGGATAACTGTTGTCAGGGAAACCTGAAGATGAGAGGAGAAAGTGCACAGGGTTTCACTACAAAGTTTGTGAGGACAAACATTATGCATCGTTATTTTATTTTGTATAGGCCCTGCAGGTCTGCTCTGACCTTTCTTGAAGACAAATTCACTGTTTCTACTTTTTAAACTAATAAGATAAGATAAGATAAGATGTGCTTTATTTATCTCACAAGGAGAAATTTACATGTCACGTTTGGCATGGATAGAACACTCAGATTGTGCAAAAGGAGGAAATGTGCAAACATGTTACATGCAGGATATATGTAAAATAAAAGTGGCAATTTAAGTGGCAATCAGATATAGTGTCAATAGTAGTAGTGCAGGTTTGTTTTTGGGGTTTTTTCAGTCTTATACAGTGCCTTAAAGTGACTTATTGTACAGTCTGACAGCGGTGGGGATAAAGGATAAATAATAATATTTAAAGCTGAGGAAAAGTTCAAGACGCAAAAACTTGTTTGTTGCTTTCAAAATAGTTTGAATAGTTATTACACATGTACAGTATATTTGTCACATCTTTAAATCTGCATTTTCTCACACAGCCAATCAAGTGTCAACATCAAATAGTTTTCTAATGAGATGAATATAACATGTTGTTATTTTCTATTTAACTTTTATTTAACCAGGAAAGTATTGCTTCATACAGACAAGTATGAAGCAATAAACAACCTCAGGTTTTTTTTTGGATGTTGTTACAAGGTCAAACGCTCAAATTTTGCATATCAAAGTTCCTTGAGCATAATCTTGATAGAAAGTCAGAAAATGTAAATCAGGCCCATCAAGCTGCAATATTTACATTTGTTCTTGTTTTGCATTTGGGTTCAAATCAGTGGGAGAGGTTGGCTGTTCTATCACAGGAAGTAACTTTCCAACTTTGCAGTTTGGATCCACACTTTAGAGCCTAGGTGTCAAAGTCAAAGCCTGGGGGCCAGATGCTGTCCGCAAATTAATTATCTTGGCCCCCGGGATGATATTTGGTTAGTGCATTTAATGTTCAGGACATGTGTTTTCTCTTTGAAGGAAGTTTGTTTTTGTCTGTAGTCAACAGTGGCTCAGTTGGGAGAGCATTGGCCTTTGAGTCTGAAGGTCGTGGGTCCGAGCCCACCATGAGACCTTCTCGACCGACTCCCACTGATGACTGCTGTCGTTGTATCCTTGGGCAAGACACTTAAATATGCTATACCCGATTTATTTTCTAATGAGTTCATAAAAATGCTTATTACTATAATCTGTATTTTCATTGAAAACTTGAGCTCATCGATTCAGCTTGTGTGTGAATTCAGGCAGTAAAAAGTGCGTGGAAGTGAGTAGAGACTTTAGCGTAATGCCTGCTTTCCTCCACTCAGAGAACGAGGCGGCGTCCTCTAGCCTCTACAGCGTTGCTAAACACAGTAGCATGTTAGCAGAATTGGCTATAACTCCTCTGGCTGTAACTGCATATACAGCAAAACAGCCCAAACGACACAACAGTGAGGAAGAGAAGAGGGAACTAAAGCAAAAAAATGATCAAAGAAGAAATCAAGCCAGAGTGAACATAGCTAGCTTACATCGTATCCTCTGGAGAGACTGGTCAATGGGAGAGACCTGCGGGAGCGGGACTACATTCGGACGCGGAATTAGCGGTAATCTTTCAGTTATATATTTTGTTAGCAGTGCGTTGCTTGTGTATCATTTCATCAGTGATTGTTGTACAGCTTAAGTTGCGCTAATGCAAATGTTTGCATATGTATCAGATCGCAAATAAAACTAGATGGATCCGTGGGATGAGACCGTAGGGGAAATGAAAAGCCTGTGAGCGAGTTGAGGGGCGGGGCTAAACATTCAAACCTTGCAGAAACGGGTAAAGCTCCATTAACCCACTTTGCCGATAAGGGGCGCGGAAGTGATGTTCACTGCTTGCCTTGATGTCTATGTGTATGTGTATGCATCAAACTGAAATTGCCCCACTGTTGGAAAATGTTTACACTTTAAGTTACTGACAGAGCCATACAGAAATATTGCAATCATAATTTTAATCATTAAATAAAATACAGTAAGCTGTGTTAGGTCTTGGTTCAATTATATGCAATCATTTTAATATGTTTTTATAAACATTGAACTAGTCCGGCTAGTCAAAACACGGCTCTTTCCCCCACACTAATACGGCAGGGAGTGATTTTTAGAGCAAGGGTCGAGCAGATAACAGTTTCTGTTCTCCGTTTTCATGTGGGAAGGGCCACACAAAGCAGCTCATGCTGGTCTGCATGAATTGAACGGGAAAGAAAGGCTGCAAGCAGTCCATGTTATCTAGTCTATGGTTCAAATAGTACTTACAGTGCAGTCAGAAGCAGCCAGTTCGAGCTGAGCCAGATGAGCAACATTTTCCGGTTGGACTGAAAAAGCAGTGAATTACCAACATTTGCCAAACTAAAAACATCTAGATAATATGGCCAAACTTGTAGCTGGTGTCTTACCTGCGCATGTGCCAATGCTAGGGTCGTATCCCATCAGGCCATGCTCCTGGACCACTCTGGTGAGGTTCACCCTCACGGTCTCATCACTCTCTCTCCTCCCCCCGCTCGCCCTCCTGCCTTTCTCAGTTTCGTGTTCTCGATATAAACACGATCCCAGCTCCTCCCTCATCCTCTGCTCTCCATCTTCATTGGTCCAACTCTGAGGCGCCGATGGCCAATCAACTCCCAGCGTTTCCAGGAAGCAGATAATGTCGCTATCTTCAGCCAGTTTGGGGCAAAACAACACTAAAAATCTGCAGACAGGATAGCAAGTTCAACTACTATAGAGATAAGAAAGATCAGAAGATCAGAAACTCGTACAAACTAGTAAGCAAGTGTTGATGTTTGAGGAAGAGCTAGTCAAGAACATTCACTGAAGATTATGATTTTCATTATCAAAACCAGTGTTGACAGAGACAGCAGGGGTGTGCAATTTTTTATTTCTATTTTGTTGTTGTTGTTTAATTGTAATTTTTCAAAATATTTTTTTTTATAATAGTGAAGAGACCCATACTTTGCAAACAGAAGCGTGGAAAAAGTTACTAACACATCAACAAATGCTACTCAACAGTGTTGAGGCTTACCCCTGTTTTCTGAGCAGCGCCCCCATGTGGTCAGCCAGCAGAACTGCACGCAGCTGTCCCAGAGAGAGCGTCTGGGCTGTGGGTGCATTCTTTTTTGAATGCAAGGCGGGACAGTTGACTACCACACTGGCTTCCTTTTGGGTAGATGCTCTGAGATACTCCTCCAGTCCCCCGTGCTCACCCAGTACAGAACGGAAGGTGGCGGGCCGGTCAACCCTAACCTTCAGCCCTTCCCTAACCACTCCCCCCTCTGAGATAGGGAGCACCCCGAAGCCGTGCAGGGACAGGACCCGCGACAGAGCGCATGGTGGCACCTGAAAGAGAGATATCCCATGATAGTAATAATAAGAGTAGTGCTGTAAGTAACTCAAACAAACACTCCCCCCATCATCTCCATCCTCCCAAACTCCCTTATGACCATCCCTGCTTTCCCTGCACCTCTAAGTGCTAAAACTCACAGGGAATCTGCTATGCCATCACTGATATTCAAACTAGAAGAGAAATCCAGGGACTCAGTCATAAAGCCACCTGCTCCAGTCCCTAAGTGATATCATAAAGAATACATAACAGAAAGACAGCAGTCAAATTAGGCAAATATTAATCGTGTCCTGTATAAGAATTATTTGGCCACACCCGCTGACACTGAAACAGTTAGTTTGCAAAAAGGGGCAATTCTAAAATTTTTAGGGATCACATTGTCACAGAGTACCTCTTGGAAAGTCTTTTGTCCTTATATAATAATTTGAAACAATTCCATCCATCACCTCCAGTCCCTCTCTTTAAAACCTTCAAATCAGGCCAGAAATCCAGAGATAGTAATGAATATGGACAAATTAAATTAGTAACATCAGTAGCTTTTCAAAGCAGCTCTCCTTGTGTACAAGTCTCAGTGGGAGTGTATTCTATTATTAAAAATAAAATGTTTACATATTTCTTAATGTTTTTATGCAATTACAAGCCTGGGTGTGCATTTGAGAAAAATCTCTCAACAAATACAGTGGGGCAAAAAAGTATTTAGTCAGCCACCAATTGTGCAAGTTCTCCCACTTAAAATAATGACAGAGGTCTGTAATTTTCATCATAGGTACATTTCAACTGTGAGAGACAGAATGTGAAAAAAAAAAATCCAGGAATTCACATTGTAGGATTTTTAAAGAATTTATTTGTAAATTATGGTGGAAAATAAGTATTTGGTCAATGACAAAAAATCAACTCAATACTTTGTATTATAACCTTTGTAGGCAATAACAGAGGTCAAACGATTGCTATAGGTCTTTACCAGGTTTGCACACACAGTAGCTGGTATTTTGGTCCATTCCTCCATGCAGATCTTCTCGAGAGCAGTGAACACGGACTTTTGAGGTCTGGAGACTGGCTAGGCCACTCCAGGACTTTCAAATACTTCTTATGGACCCACTCCTTCGTTGCCCGGGCGGTGTGTTTGGGATCATTGTCGTGCTGGAAGACCCAGCCACGTTTCATCTTCAAAGCTCTCACTGATGGAAGGAGGTTTTGGCTTAAAATCTCACGATACATGGCCCCATTCATTCTTTCCTTAACACGGATCATTCGTCCTGTCCCCTTAGCAGAAAACAGCCCCAAAGCATGACATTTCCACCCCCATGCTTCACAATAGGTATGGTGTTCTTGGGATGCAACTCAGTATCCAAACACGACGAGTTGAGTTTATACCAAACAGTTCTACTTTAGTTTCATCTGACCACATGACATTCTCCCAATCCTCTGCTGTATCATCCATGTGCTCTCTGGCAAACTTCAGACAGGCCTGGATATGCACTGGCTTCAGCAGGGGGACACGTCTGGCACTGCAGGATTTGAGTGCCTGTCATCGTAGTGAGTCACTGTTGGTAACCTTTGCTACTTTGTTCCCAGCTCTCTGCAGGTCATTCACCAGGTCCCCCGTGTGGTTCTAGGATCTTTGATCACCGTTTTCATGATCATTTTGACCCCACGGGATGAGATCTTGCGATCAAGGGAGATTATCAGTGGTCTTGTATGTCTTCCATTTTCTGATAATTGCTCCCACAGCTGATTTGTTCACACCAAGCTGCTTGCCTATTGTAGATTCACTCTTCCCAGTCTGGTGGAGGTCTACAATTCTTTTCCTGGTGTCCTTCGACAGCTCTTTGGTCTTGGCCATAGTGGAGTTTGGAGTCTGACTGTTTGATGCTGTGGACAGGTGTCTTTTATACAGATAAGGAGTTCAAACAGGTGCCATTAATACAGGTAACGAGTGGAGGACAGAAGAGCTTCTTAAAGAAGAAGTTACAGGTCTGTGAGAGCCAGAGATCTTCCTTGTTTGAAGTGACCAAATACTTATTTAATTTACAAATAAATTCTTTAAAGATCCTACAATGTGAAATCCTGGATTTTTTTCTCACATTCTGTCTCTCACAGTTGATGTGTACCTATGATGAAAATTACAGACCTCTGTCATTATTTTAAGTGGGAGAACTGGCACAATCGGTGGCTGACTAAATACTTTTTTGCCCCACTGTAAATGGGGCCGCTGTGCTGATGGGGGAAAAAACTCAGCACATGAAACAAATGTTTAACGTCTCTTTTTGAACATTGTAAAACATTTAAGACACATAGATGGATAAATACTTAACATTGTCATAAACTCATAAAAGTAGAAGCATGTATAATGTAGTATACAAATGATATGTAAGAGAGATCCATCTGGCCACATATATTGATATAGAATGAGATATGGTTTATTCAGGGGTAAATATCAGTAATAAGTGGAGAAGTGGCCTCCAGACTCAACATAGAGGGACAGACACATGTTCAAGTCGGACCCACATAATGCCTCACTCATGGGGTAATAATAGGAGCTTCAGGGCCTTACTGTAGTCAATTATTGGACCAATCTGGTCCAATAATAATATCTGTACTACAAACAAGCATAACATAATTTCATTAATAGCCCCCCATCCATCCATCCATTTTCTTCCACTTCATCCGTTGCCGGGTCGCGGGGGTCATTAATAAGCTTGTACGAAACATAGCATGTCGGTATACATAATTAAAGTGAGCTCATTACACCAAATGATGAACAAATATTTAATACATTGTTTATCGCAATAATGGTAGCTTTATATATGGCTGCACTTCTGTGATTGAGTTTAATAATTGTATATGATTAACATCAAACTATGAACCAAATGTGTATTTACTTAGTAGGGGTCCTTCACCCGTTTGCCATGTCATTCCTGGAATTATCAATGAGATTCCAGATTTAAGTATTGCCAAAACAAAGTCAGACCCTCTCACTTTAAACTCCTCATTAAGTCATATTAAGCCATTATTATACAGTGATAAAGAAAACATAGAATTATATTATATCGCTATTTCACAGATAAAACGTGTCCCTGACCTGTCCATTGACGAACAGCGTGTTGAGCATGGTGCTGGGTGACAGAAAGTCCCGATTGCGGAGGTTTTTCGCGCTGCTTTCCTTGAACCACAGTTTCTCTGGCTCAGGGAACACCCTCTCCCGGTCGTCTGTTTGGCTCTTGGCTGGTACATTATCCTGTTTCCCCCGCAATGCAGCGCTCAAAGCCCGGACAGTGGCGGAGATTCGCAGCGGAGACGAAGAAGTAGCCTCCTCCTCCATCACCTCCACCACAACACCACAAGCAGCGATCTGTCAAACGCAAGAAATGACCCAAATACGCACACTTCTCATCCCGCTACTAAATATATATTTGTATTAAAAAGTAGTCAGGGCTGGCGTCTCGTTATACATTTCTTCTCAGAGTCCCACCTCCTGACAGCAGTCAATCAGAAATCGATGGCCCAATATTCGACAGCTTGTTTCCGCACATCGACTGTACGCTGCGTTTAGCGTGATACCCGCGTGGAACTATTGAGCCAGAGGACGCAGTTTCTACGGACTCCAAACATCGACGGACCAGATTTTTTCCCAATGGCGTCATCTTGTGGACAAGCGAGACAAGTACAAAAATACTGCTGTTGATAATATTTACAGTCTATGGATAACAAAACAAAAGATGTGGCTTTATGCTACAGGTGTTACAATGAATCAAAATTTGGCCTCTTGGGAAAAAAAACAAAAAAATGATCAGTCTTGAGAAAAATAAGGAAAATTCCAGATACTCTGGAACATAATGTGAGCTGCACAAATAAGTCTTAATTAAATAGCCTTAATTTACATGGCTAAGACAACAGTCGGTGTTCATCTGGGCTGACACAGGCTTTGGTTACGTAAATAAAAGGCTTTTAATAGGACTTCCTTGTGCAGCTCACATTTTGTTTAGGAGTGCCGGATTGTCCCTTTTTTTTATCAACACTGCTGTAGATCTTTAAATTAATTGGTAATATTTAATACAATATTTGTATAACTAACCCTATAGTCAAAGATGCAATGTGCAGATAAATGTACATTCATTCTTCATTTTGCATCCTAACTGTTGTGATTAATGCATTAATTTGGGGTCGTGAATATGGTCTACTAATAAATTACAAGGAAAAATCCCCATCGGTGCACCTCTAAAAACCTAATATTGGTTTTTGATCATCTAAATCTATGTGGCATAATGTTTTGTCATCAAACATGTCACTTTGACTGCTAAGAATTAAATTGTAAGTAATCTTGGAGATGAGAGGTTTAAAGAACTGTCTTGAAGGTGGCCATTATTTCTTGGAAAATTGTCAACCAAATATTTTCTGATCCTTCCTGGTCTATATGAAAAATATAGTTTCATAACCAACAACAAATAAACTATGGATATTACGTTTTTTTCAAAATGGGGAATTTCACTGAAACATGAGTCGCATGGTTCAAGTTCTGAATGTCTATCCACTTAAACTTCTAACTACTGCCATGGACTGTTATCCCACTCTGGAAGAGCGCCTTCAGCCAGAGCGCCTTCTCGGTGAGGGCGTCTCAGGAGTGGAACACAGTCCCACCAAACATCAGAGAACTGGCCTCATACAATCTGTTCAAAACCCATATCAAATCATGGTTCATCACAAAACAGACCTATCAAAACTAACGTTTAACTGTTTGTTTATATGGTAAATGTACACTGTTATTTCATTATTGATATTTTGCATATAAGTGTATGTGTTTTCTTTTATGTTGACATTTTAAATTCAATATAATTTAAATATCAATAGAGTGAAGACACTATAGAGGTTTACTATATGTGTAAATAGTAAGAAGTATCTTTAAGCAGCGTCTTTCACAGACCAGAGTCACAAAATTTACAATTGTGGCCATTTTCCCTCTCACTCCACAGGGATGGGACCATGGGACACATGCCAGATCTATTGTTCATGTGTTTAGTGGTAGGGGATACCAGAGCACCTGGAGGAAACCTACGCTGACATGGGGAAAACATGCAAACTCCAAACTCCACGGCCCTGTCTGGAGGTGCAATCAAACACAGGACCTTTATGCTGTGAAGCACAAGCACTAACTACTGCACCACTGTGCCACCCAATGTCAGCTGTAAGTAAGTCATCTTTATTTTTATACCAACTTTCACAGACCAGAGTCACAAAGCAGTTTACAATTGTTAACCTTGGGCATTTGTTCTCTCGCTGCACACAGAGATGGGAGCGAGGTCGCCAGTACAGGAGGCACATGCCAGACCTATTGTGCATGTTTTTAGTGGTAGGGGAAACCGGAGTACCCGGAGGAAACCTACGCAGACACAGGGAGAACATGCAAACTCCACTCAGAAAGGCCCTGGTCCAACCGGGATTCGAACCAAGGACCTTCTTGATGAGAGGCAAGAGTGCTATCCACTCGGCCACCGTGCAGCTGTGCATTAAAAAGCACTTTTATTTTTAATACAGAACGTTGTGTATTTCTTTTTGAAATCTCAAAAGTAAAAAAAAAAAGCTCAGTCCGTTTCTGTTGTCCCACAAATGACAGAAAACACTTTTCTTAAGATGCAAGAATATTATTATTATTTTCTTGTTTTTGTGAAAACACCCAGGCCTCATTTTTCAGGCGTTTCTCATGTGAAAAAGTGATTTGCGCCCCTTAAATTTGAAGAAATGTGCGCCCACAGTTTATCGCCTGGATAGATGAATGAGGCCCAATGAGTGCTGATAGATTGCTTATGTAAAAAGTTGCTATTTTACATTATGTGTACAAATTATATGAAAACGAAGAGTAAATGAACTGTGAAATCTCAAAGAACATCAACGTTTAACTTTGCATCATTTGGATTTGTATTTAGCTTCACAAAGCACTCACTTCCTTTTAATCCTGTAAAAGCCTCTCGAGTGATTTATAGGACTTAAAAGAATATATCAAAGTGGATTTATGCATGATCTGCTTTAAAGTAAGCAATTTCATATTGAATAATAATCATAATATTGATAAGGGGTGAACAAATTAGGAGTCTGTTATTACGGATGGGGTTAATTTTTTTATTGTCAACTTTAAATGTATGTGCAGTTTGTGAAAGTCTTCATCTTGGTTTCTTCACCTTTTCTTTTGACAGTGGCTTGGGTTAGCCATTGGAAATTGGAGCGTGTATGTTAAGTGTTAATAGTAAAATGTTGTCCCTGCAGGGATTGAAATACACTCATGCATGCATGGTGTGTGACATCTAAATGTATTTGTATTTGAATAGAGATCATCAGAGACATTACACAGATCTCAATGCGGGACAGTCACTATAAAAAGCTATAAAAGCTTCTGCACTGAAGAAGCTGAACATCTACATACATTCCATAACAGTGAATTCAACTGTAATCCTCACCATGATTACTTCACTTGTCTTTCTTTATGGTAAGTTTCAAAAACTATACTTTCTTGTATTGTAATTATCTTCTTTTTTTTTTTATCTAGCTCTTTTTGGTTTTTAAATTGAAGACAGTGTAGCCAAACTGTTTGTGCCATCACATGTGGACATACAAGTGCACCTGTTGAAATCATGCAGCAGAATTTTGTGAAGTTTTCATAAAAATACAAATGTAGTTATTTAAAATTTGTGTTGAAGTGTTATGGAAACTGTTAATGAGCATACGTCCATTACGGCAGGGATTGTCCTTGTCCCAGTGACTCGAGGCCAAAGCTTGGAGTTCCATTTGATCGACTTAAACCTGACATGGAGCGAGGCTCAGCAGTACTGCAGAGAGAACTACACCGACTTGGTCACCGTGGAGACAGAGCAGGACCTACAGCGTATGGTTGTTCCTGATGGGAAAAGGGTCTGGATTGGCCTCTTCGATGATCCAGTGTCATGGAAAGGTCTCATAACCACCAACTCCAACTCCTGGAGATGGTCCGCAACCGGGGACAAGGGCAGCAGTGGATACACTAAGTGGAGAGTGAGTCAGCCCGATTTTTACAACGCCCAGGACATGTGTGTTTTGACACGGCCAGATGGGTGGGTGGATGTACCCTGCAAGGAGCTGTTAAATGCAGTTTGTCACACAGGTAAGATGCATAGTTAAGCCATCTCACACTGCATCAGCATGTTACAATATGACATACAGGCTGTTTGAATGAAGTAGTCTCATTTTAGTCAAATAAAATCAAGATTCAAACGGAATGATTAAAATGTCTTATTTTAAAGGCAGGAGCATTGTCATTCCATTTGAGAATGTGCTTGTCTCTTTAAAACATGCATGTACCATTAGAAACAATAACATTTAGTAAAATCAAGATCAATTCAACCTAATTAAAGCAATTTGTTTATGCATTTTTTGCAGCATAAGTTGTCCCTTGAGTATTTGTTTAAATGAAACGCGGACAAGAAATGGAATCAAACTGCTGACAGAATACTCATTGTATTTACTTGTTTAATGTGTTTCTTTGGAATTAATAATAATGTGATTTTCCCTTAAGTAAATTCAACGGGCAAAGAGTTTCATTATATCAACAAAATGATGAACTGGATGGAGGCACGAAACTTCTGCATAATTAACTACCATGACCTGGCTATGATTGAGAATGAGGCAGAAATTGAAAAAATGGTTCAGTGGAACAATTCCGCTTGGATCGGCTTGCATCGAGTGCCCTGGAGATGGTCAGACGGCGGCAAAGGCAACTTCAGAAACTGGATAAGCAACGAACCAAACAACCATGGGGAAGAGCACTGTGTATCCATGGGCTCAGACCTGAAGTGGGCCGATGACCGCTGTGACCTCCAGAGGCCCTTCATCTGCTATAAAGGTAAGTGCAGGAACTTGATAGACATGTCACCACAGTAGCTCTACATTTATGTGTGTATGCTTTTTTGTGTGCTTACATTTATGTGTGTTAGCATTTTAACTCAAGACAAAATGAACCTTTTTGAATCATTTATGTGTGTATTTCATTTTAGCACTAAAGGCACGAAGATTGCATATCCAGTTAAAGCTCCAGAGCTCGGCTGACCTCTCCGATCTCACCATCAACTCTCAGATTTTAGAAGCGGTATGTTTGTTTTTCATTCACAATCATTTATGTCTAATCTTTACAGACGACCAAATAAAACAACAGAAAAGAAAACGCTTTGATAATGGTGATCTAATGAAGCAGACAAGACACTGGTCCACAAAGTCTCTGACCCTAAAGCCTCTGCCTTGCTAACCCAAAAGTAGTCTTTTATATCATCAAGACAAGTTCACAGTGTGATCCAGCCAACTTCAGCTCTTCCAATATAGACAAGTTTCACCTGATTGTGAAGTTCTATTTCTCTGGAATCCATTTGACTATGTCCATGTTTGACTAAACTTTTTGACAATTATTTTTGATTGCATCATATCAATGTAGATGGTGAGTAAACCTTTGTCATTCAGCCAACTTCAGCTCTGTCAAAGATGAACCAATATACACACCTAATCTTAAAGCTCAGAACAGCCTTAATCCAGTTAACAAAGTGGCCCCCTTCCGAAAAAGTTTGGATACCCCTGGACTACAGAATGTTTGTCACTCACATGAAGCAACAATGTCATTTTTTTGATTTTTTTTCTGGAATTTGTTATTTTTACTCATCCCTTGGAATATGTTTAATAATAGTTTATATACAACACAACAGTTTAGTTATGACATGTTAAAAAGGTATTTGTGGTTTCATGTTTGACTGATACTACTGTGAGATTTCATAACACTTTTAAGCAACTTTTGTTAAAGTTAAACTCATCATTCTATCAATGTGCAGAAGCCTGTACTTTTCCCTTGTTTTGTCTATCTGAAGGCCAAGCTACATGGCACCGTGGAAGCTGCTGATTGGAGGTCTCCATGCCTCCGCTCTGTATAATACACTTGCATTCTCTTGTATCTGTGTTCGTGCTTTGTTCGTGCTGTCTCTACCATCGACAATAAAACATGTCTTCTGTCTGAATTTAAGACGCGATCCCAGACTATGTCATCTTCTTCACTACAAAAGTTGATTGTAAATGGCTTCTTCTTTTCATCATTCCACCACATTTCCCCATTGTATGTAATACTTATGTTTGGTATGATGTTATGGGTGAGTTAATATTTAAAAATGGCTTGTGTAGATCGCTGGATCGACCAACGCAATATTGTGTTTTATTCTTTTTCAGATCAAGAGGAAACTAGGAGCAAATGGGTCTGACTTCAAGATCAAGTGGGTCAAGGTTCCAAAGCGGTCTTGAGGATTTTCCAGATCTATCGCTCACAGTTTCAGTCCTCACGCATCTTAAGTAGATGTAGAAAGTTTTGGAAGTAGATTACTTTATATTAGTTCACAATAACACAATATTCATGTGAGAAACTTTTTTTTCTTTTTAATCTAAGTGTAGATGTTGTGATGCTTTGACTTAATATTTACAGTTGGGTTGTTTTAACTATAAAATGGTCTGCAGCAGTGATTTAATTGTTTCTCTGTATGTCCAAATCTATATATCTACCAATAAAATGCTTTCAACTAATCTGAAGACTAATTATTGTCACTTTATTTTCTCAATTAAGATTTTTGATGGGCCTTAGAAACTGCCAAATGAAATGAATATCTGGTTTGTTTTTAACAGGGCATTTACAAAGTTTTATCATGATTTAGTGATATGTCGTATTTTTCAGTGCAACAAAACAAAACGTGTGAATTGGCCAAAATACTGCTGTTTACACTAATAAGACAAGAAAACTACCTTCCATTGTTGAAGATAGAAATGAGCTGGTAGTGATGTGAGATGGAAGATTAATATTAAGAGATCTTTTATTTGTCCCGCAGTGGGGATATTTCAGTGTTGCATTACCAGTTACAGAACAGTAGGGATGAGTAGCACACAAGGTAAATGAACATAAATGAGATGAATGGCCTCATCTTTTCTAGATACTTTGTATTTTTTGTGCATACAAAATTTCTAATCAGAGTTCTGAATTCTGAATACATGGAATTTTTTCTCGCTCATTTGTATAACATAAAGTTGTTACAATGCGGTGTTGAATTACAATAAATGTGCGCTACTTTAAGTTTGCATTATTTTGACAACATACTCAAGTGGAATCACCTAGTTCTTATAATTTTGTAAAGTACCACCAAAAAGTAATGTATTCCAAATGCATCCACATGTTTTCTTCCACTTTATTCATGGCCGGATTGCGGGGAGGGCTGCAGTCAAAACAGACGCTCAGACTTTAGACTCCCTGTTGTTATAATAGATCCATGATCCACACGCTCTTCCTACAAAATAAACAACATGAGATTCTGAATACATATTCCCGAGGTTCCTTATCAAACAGCCACAAATGCCCCACAAGCCCAACAAAAAAGACTGAAAACTATTTAGCCTGCGTCGCCAGCGGGGGGCGCTATCACAAGAGCAGAGCTAAGTTCCACCTCCAAACGCTGCCCGTGTACAGTGCAGTACAGAGGCACAGTTTGATTATGTCTGCAATAGTATACTACATACTTTACAAGTGGACTCCCGTGCGGTTCGGTTGGCGTGTGAATGCGAAACGGTCTCGGTTCGGTCCAACTCTGTTATGGATTTAGCTTTTTTGTTCAAGTGCAGCTTCCGTAGAAGAGTGTGAACAGGAAGCGCTCCATTGAATTGTTTCATTCCGTCTTCGCGGTGTTTGACGTTTGACAGAACGAACAATGAGTCGAGGACAAACCTGGTCGAGAGAGGAGGTGCAGTCCCTCTTAGAAATATGGTCAGATAAGTACATTAATTACCAGCTGTCCACCACACACAAGAATGCTCAGATCTTTTCAGTTTTCAGCAGACAGATGACCGAGCGCGGCTTTAATCGCTCTGGAGACCAGTGCCGCGTAAAAACCAAAAAACTCCGCCAACAATACTTAAAAGTTAAACATGCATTGAATAAACCTGGCTGCTCTTCTCTAGTCAAAGATCAGTTTGTTTGGTATGACGCCATGGAAAAAATCCTGGGCATGAAGCCTGAACCAGTGGACCTTCTGGACACGGAGGATTTCTACGAGGACCCGATGGAGTCTTCTCGGTACCAAGAACACATCCAGGTGGAGGTTCTCCCGGAGCAAATCCTGCCCGAGCAGATCCTTCCCGAACAACCAGTCTCGCCACTTGGTAAGTCAATTTCATTCATACTGATATAAAATGCATATTATAGACTCGCTCCTTTTTAAAACTGTAGGGAGGCATTTGCTATTTTCTAATTTATCATCATGGTGACATACATTGGTGAAATCCTTTAGATGCGGATTAAGTAATTGAGATAAGTATTTTTCTCTGTTGTCACTAGACTTGTCACAATTACTATATCGAGTGCCTTTCATACACAGGGCAACACAAATCGCTTCAGTTACAGACAGAGCACAAATCACCACATAAAACAAACACCACAATCACCATCAAAACAATAATATCACACAATAAATTAAACATTAAATCTTTAAAATCACTCAAGGAATTAGAAAAATATGAATAACCACAGTGCATTAAAAATAGAGATACAATCCTTCAGTTGCATGCACAGGCAAACAGAACAGTCTTTAACCTGGATTTGAACATTATCGAGTAGACGCCTCTCTACATGTTCAGGATGCCTTTTCCAGATCTTAGCTGCATACATCTGAAATGCAGCCTCCCCATGTTTAGTTCTCACTCTGGGCAACAGCAGGAGGCCAGTCTTCTCTTGTGCTTCTCAGAGTCTGTGCCGGTTCATATGGCACCAGCATGTCATTAATGTACTTTGGTGCGAGGTCATGGAGAGACTTAAACAAGCAGAGCTGCTTTAAAGTCCACTCTCTGAGCCACAGGATGCCAGTGCTTGTCCCTCCATGTTGGAAATAAGTGCATTAGTGGTGTCAGGGACATTTATAATGCTATAAATTGCAAGACTGAAACGATGAATCAAAAACTGAAAGTACTCTATTTTGATTACAGCTTCACTGCCTTGATTTAATATTTTTTTTATATAGACGGTTGGATTTTAACCTTGATTTGAACATTATAAGAGAAGAAGCAGTCTCACATTTTTAGGAAAACTGTACCAGATTTTGGCTGCATAAATTCTCATGTTTAGTCCTAACCCTAAGCTGAAGCTGCTCTCCAGAGCAGACTGTGTCCAGGGGGTGACAGCCATGTTCCAGCATCTATACATGTTAGTTTGTCCTGGACCCTCCTGTCCCCCACCAGGGAACAGAGCTGGACTTGTCCTTGTCTAGCTTCTTTCTGTCCCTCTTTGTGATCCTGCCGCCACAGATAGCACCATTATTCTGTAATTGTTTAATGGCAACTTAACCATTGTTTAAATTTGACCAATTTAGTAATTGACACTTTTCAAACCTTACATGGACTCAAAAAAGCTGAGAACGCGTTTTATGAGTCTGATATTTCTATAATGATTCCTTAATGTAATTAAAATGTGTATGAAGATGAATCAAAATCTAGAATTATATTACGTTTTGGGATACAAACTACTAATCAATTTATCGTAAAAAAGTAAAGAAGTAGCTAGCTAAAAAGCCAGAGAACTGGCAACCACGGCCATGCGTCACCCTGTGCTGAGGAGGCGGAGACGGCGCATGCGCAGTGTTTCTGTTGTGAAAAACTAGTCCAGGTCCACTCTCCTCTTCACCAACACACCAGCGGCTGTTACCGGGACATTGACACTTCTCCAGGGAACAATGCACAATTGGCAAGACCACGAGATCCGCCAGCTGCTGCGGATCCGTGCACACGACCAGTTCCGCGGGCAGCTGACGGGGACGGTGAAGGACGCAGTGGTGTTCAGCACGATAGCGCGTCTTTTGGCGAAGCAGGGAGTGCAAAGATCCCGCGACCAAGTAGTGAGTAAACTGAAGAACCTCAAGAAGCAGTACCGACGCTACAAGGCGCAGACGGACGGGAACTCGTCCTGGGTTTGGCCATTCTACGAAGAGGCGGAGCGAGCGTTTGGTCCTATACCAGCCGGGTCTCCGGGTGTGGAGGCGGCCCCCCTGCAAGCTTCCGCTCCGGTGAGGAGCCAGAGGCCTGAGTTTGATCCTGTTGAAGCAGAGAAGGTGGTGGTGGGTGATTGGGGCGAACAGAACCAAGGACCCACTCCCAACGTGGCAATCAAGCGAGAGCATGAGCCTCTGGATGACGAGGAGGAGTTTGAGTATGAGTGTCCACCGCAGACAGTCCAGTCTGTGCAGCCGAGTAAGCATACTGTACACTCTCACACGTGTATGTGCCTATGGAGATGTTGATGCTTGCCTCAGCATGACATTTAACTTCTCCTCTGAAGCAGGGGATGCACTAGACCGGGTCAAGAGAAATGTGTCTAAATATGTAATAATGTGAGGGAGGATAATGATAATGATACTACCCTTGGATTGGGCATCTAAGTTTCAAACCACAAAAAGTAGTATGTTATTTTAACTGATCTAGACGTTCCAAGCTGTTAAAACTGTTTTGTCCTTTCACTAGTTTTCCCATGCGTCTATTTATGGCCTCAAGTTACAGTTTTAGAGCTACTTTCTCAATCAGAAAAGTGAAAACGAGTGCCACCCTCACCCAGCGGCTCCACAAAAAAAAAGATGTTTTCACGGTGACATCTTTTGCAATATTTGTTTTATTAAAATCATTCTTATAAGCCTTAAACATAAATACTTTCAACATGTTTGGTCACATTTGTTCATGTCATTACAGGATAATTTCTGTTGGGACTATGCTACCTACCCCAGCTTCAATAATTATATATTTGAATAGACTAGTAAGTACATTCCAAAGAAAGAATGATACTACCCATTGTAAAGTGGCTTAGTAAAGTCACTACATTTACATGCACACAATTTATTTGTGTTTAACTTGATTTCCTTTCCAATTCATCAGTGTGTTACAGCTTTATCTTTCCGCTTTTTGTAGAGGATACTGATCATATTTTTTAAAATGAAACTAGTTCTTTCACTTTCCTAGGAGCAGATGAATTGTCCAGCCCAGTAGGAGTATTTGCTTTTTGCTAACTGAAAACAAGTTGGCATTTATTCACAATTGCTGCACGTCCATGGGATTTCCCTAGCATGTTCACCAGAACAGGGCAAGATGTGAAAAGAAGTCGGAAATGATTCCCTTCATTTTTCACGTTGCAATTTCCCAGGTGGACTATGGTTCAGTTAAAATAATGCAGCAGGTGGTAACGGGCTGCATTAAGCTAAATCCTGGTACAGATTAGGTTTTGTAAACAGAGCAGACCAAGGAATGTGGGAATGTCCTGCCACTGGTGCATTTGTGAATGGGGTAGAGTTTATGTTCTGGCATTGTATTCCCAGCTCTTTACTGGAAACCATGTCGCTTTTGTTTACAGTTTATCTGCTAAATGTTTACAGTATATTGCAATTGAAATCATAATCTGATGTAGTTTCCAGAAAAGTACTGGTAGCGCTATTCTAGAATGTTTCACAACATTGGCCGGTCTGCTGTGTTTACATACACCACTTTGATCTGACATTCAGAACTCTGCATTCTATCACCATTTACTGAGCTGCTGCCATTTATACTGCGTAACAATGGAATGGAATGTACTGTCCTGGTGATTTAATTGGAAAATACACAGATCTGTTCTGGCTCTCACACCCTGTTCAGGTCAAATGCTAGGGAAATTCCCAGAACATGGACTTATTGTGAAAAGAGGTTTCTGAATGTGATGAAAAATATTGCAGAATGTCAGCAGATTAAACAGAGGTGGAGACTGTTTGTTAAGCCCTTAACAAACAGCACACCCAGATGATCTGATGCAGACTCTGTATCTTCTCCTGTTCAGTGCTGTTCAAACATGCAGGTAAAGTCTGTCGTATTATTGCGTTGGAACGCAGCAGGATATATCAGCTCAGCGACCACAACTCCAAGCCAACAGAGAAATAAGAGTAATAACAGTTGCAGAAATACATATATTTCAACTGCCATAAGAAAAAGCTAAACAAAAGCTCTTTTTACTTTACGTACAGACTGTTCCAATGGTCCATTGGACCGGCTGCTGTCTACAACCCAAAGATAACATTAGGAGGCTGGGAGGGTGATCTCTGGGCCCTAAGAGGGGGTGCAAACATCCTGGTGCTGCATGTTTAAGGAGTAACTGCACAACCGCGAGAAGCATTTATATAACAATAGAACAACATTGTAAAATATCACTTGATGATTATGCCTGTGAGATTTCATAACACTTTGAAGCAACTTTTGTTAAAGTTAAACTCATCATTCTATCAATGTGCAGAAGCCAGTACTCTTCCCTTGTTTTGTCTATCTGAAGGCCAAGCTACAAGCACACCGTGGAAGCTGCTGATTGGAGGTCTCCATGCCTCCGCTCTGTATAATACACTTGCATTCTCTTGTATCTGTGATCGTGTGCTTTGATCGTGCTGTCTCTACCATCGACAATAAAACATGTCTTCTGTCGGAATTTATGACACGATCCCAGACTATGTCATCTTCTTCATGCCCATTACTTTTGTTTCTTGCAATATACTATAAAAATAAAATAAAGCTGACGCAAAATGCTAAACTGTATTGAACTTCTGCTTCTTCCTCTCACAGACTGTCCCATCCCGACAAAGAAGAGGAAAACGTCGATAGTGACGCAGGTCAACAACATGATCAACGCCACCATGGGCACACTCAGGGACATGGACCGCGACATGCAGGCCCAGGAGGACGCACGGCTTAAGAGGCTCATGGACCATGAGAAGGACATGCAGAGGAGCCTCATCCAGGACATGTTGTCACTCCACCGCACCATCAGTGCAGAGAACCACAAGCGACACCTGGAGCTGGTGGACCGCATAATGACTAAAGTCCCACTCTCCTCCTCGCAGCCTGCCCTCTGATCTCAAGCTGTGTTGCCTTAAGCTTGTTTTTTTATAAAGATTAAAGGCACAAGGACAAGTTTTATACATGGGAGCTTCACGTGTCTTTGGTGCAACAGATACTGTATAATTATAAATTCGATTTTTTTTTTTTTTTTTTTTTTATGGTGTCGCCAGAGATGAGGTAAAAGTGTTCCAATGCATCATGTTTGTTAAAGTTACTATTTTGGTTCTCAGGTCTTTTCTCCTATCAGAAAGCAGAATGAGTCTTTCATTTGGGTTGCCAGTTCCAATAGTGAAACCCAGTTATTTCAGCCCTCATTAAGCAGTGAAGCAGCAGCTTTTGCACTGGCACACGTCAATTGTTGAATAAAAAAAGATTACGCTACATACCTTTTCTAAAACGTGACGAGTTCAACCAATTGAAATCACTGACAATTCAGTGAAAACCACCATTTGTTTCAAGCGGTTCATGTTGTGTGGATCAAAAGGACTTTCTAATTTACCCTGTTTGCCAAGCCCATTTTTAGCCCATTGAATTGGGCTAAAATGAGTAGAGCTGAGTGATTTTTGTTGTTGTTGAAAAATCACATTTCAATTTCTATGACAAACATTGTGATTCAATTTGCAGTTTGTTTTTGTTTTAAAGTATCTAATTAGATAACAATGAAATCTATCTGGCATCCCAGACATCTAAGACATTGCTAGTTTAAAGGTATTTAGAAGGAATTTCTTTTTCCGGGTGGATCATCAAGGCTATTGGTCCTCCTAATTGTGAATTATTCGGCCTAAGGTTGTTGTATGTGCTCATCAAACAAGACCGTAGTGTTTTTGGGAGATTATTTCACACAATTGGATTCACTGAAAGCCCTGGTTGGGCTTCAAACTGATGCTTCAGTCACAATGTTTCTACTCGACAGAGTAAAGTTTGGCATTCTATTTGGGAATAATCAATTTGCAATCACTCCCAGTAAAACATCTTCGTGTATATTGTCTGACTAGAGCCCCATTCGCAGTCACCGACAGCGACTAGTAAACAGAGCGTGCACGAGGAGAACTGGGTTAGTGCACGTCTCACACATTTAAGGCGCTCCGTCTCGGGAGAAAGTAGAGCGGGCGGTTCTTTTCTAAGATCCTAATATATCTTTAACTATATAGGATAAGCAAATTGATTTGATTTTCCCTCCTTCACCAATGAAGTTGTATTTAAAGACAAACTTCTGGACTGTCTACGAGATGGCTCATTTAGAGTTATGCCTGCTCAATATTCAACACTTTTATGATGTGTTATTATGAGACCTCAAGTCTTCACAACCAGCCTTTTCCTTATTAATGCAATGTGTTGTATTTAGGCTGTCACTGTACATAGCTTTTTATTGTACTTTCTACTTGCTGTCCTCTGCTCTTCCTACAGTCCATCTACAGAGGGCGTTGTAATTTATCATACTCAATCTGATACATTTTGTTTCCTGGAGAGAAACTTTTGTGACGTTCTGAATGTATTTGATCAATTTCATGTTTCCTGATGATGAAAATGAGTAAATACATGTGAGACATTTTATTTGTTATACCTGAAAGTGCTTTGGTGATGGACAATGCTGGCGGGGGTTCAGACATTACCAACAAGTAGTCGGTGATTAAACTTCACTCATGTTCCTAATACCAATTTAAAAGTTGAGAAATATATGTGCTGTGCCAGTGCAACTCAAAAACTGACCCCGAGGTCTCTAGTATTATCTGTAAAAGTTTTGAAATCCTCCACAAAACACAATTATTACGATTATATGCTACAACAACGCAAGCTGCAAAATGGTTGTTTGTTAAAATATGACCTGTGTTTTAATATTAGAAATTAAAGTTAAGCCACATATTGATATTTTAACCACCATATTAACTACATTCCTGAAAGCACTGCATTGTAGTCAGCAGATAACCAGTTAACCTCCATTATGACTTCAAACTCTTATTTGGAGAATTATTTTTCTGGAACCCAACGCATCACCCACTTTGCAGTTCCACAGTAATATTAGTAACAACCAATGTTAGAACAAAATGTTAATACATATTTGTTTTACTGGATACTGCAAGTTTTTTAAATGGTTCCCTAAATGTATCACACCTATAGTGTTCTAATGACACTGGTCTAGGGTTGTTACCTCCTGTCTATGGACTATGTTCTTTGTTCTTCTACGATAGCTATTTTATCTAAAGTGATATCTTTTTACTCAAATTAATGGTAGATGGAGAGAAAACAAATGTGCACTTATATTAAGTATGCATGTTATTATACTGCAGAGCCACTCAAGGGCTAACCTTACAAAATAAATACTCTGAAATCAACTCTGATAAACAATCACGATAATATCGATTTTATTAAATGATCTATAGTCAGTCTGATATATAGTATAATACAGTCATTGAAAACCTTTTTGAAAATGATAATCCACTTTCTAAGCAGTGAAAAGGTTTTGGAGTTTGAGTGGTTTTGAAAACTTTTTTGAAGATTGTATTATTTGGCACAGAAATAAATATGAATATAAAAAGACAGCTGTGTATGATATACAAAGTACCCCCATAACATCTTCCATCTTCAGTATTGTATGTTCAAAAAAAGCTCTATCATGTTCATATTGGCAAACATTATAATGACTAATACAAAAAGTACATGGATATTTAAAAACATTATTTTGTGACACCCATTACTGGGAAACCTTGAAGATAATGGATGAAAGTGTACACGCAGCAAAACGGAGTCTTGTCTTGTCTGACACGAAGTTCCCGGTTGCATTTCCGGATCACAGCAATCCGGGAGAAAACGTGTCATTCTAGACATGATCCCAAACCACAGCTTTGCTCTGAAATAAAAGTGAAACGTTCATTGAAGTAGAACATGTGCTACTGTCATCAAGTAGGACTCTATAAAGGGCAGTGGATGATGTCACATAATAAATGGAGAAATACTGTGTGCAAGCTCACCTTTCCACAGACCTGACCTGGAAGTGGAGCTGATGGCTTAGTTTATCTGTATTATCACAAAATGTCCCAGGCTCAGAAAGTTGTTGCCTGAAAGTTGTTGCCTGAAAGTTTCGCCATGTCTTAGTATGTTGAAAATGAAAGTAAAATAATCCTTAGTAACTTATTGAACAGCCAGAAACCAGTTGAGTCATGACATTCCCTCTTCAATATCCAAACAATAACTTTTTTTCAGCATATATGTATCTGTATGTCCCCTTGAGTTTTCCTCCTCTGTCCGTAGTCTCTTATTGGCTGGTGTCTCAGGCGGTGCAGTGCATTGTGGGATGTAAACGGAGCTCATAACCAGCTGGAGCCATTCACAGCTGCATTATGGGTTCCGTTAAGTTCCCAGTCAGCAGAAAAGTCCTCCAGGCGACACCAGAACATCACTTCGGTAAAATCTGAAAAACATACATAAGAGAAAGGCTAACCACTCTGCCACAGTGACCAAAAGTAGGGGATGTGCTCACCCACATCTTTTCAAAATGGATTCCATGATTTAAGGACAACGAATTAGTCCACCATCCTCTGTACTGAAAATCCATTTATAATCCAGAATGTTTTCTTAGTTCATGCTAAATTTCTAAGCAAAGAAAACTTGTTGAAGTAATGGCCTCTTGAACACAGGAGAATAGAAGTTACTAACATGAACCACTTTTTTATTGTCTTAAATATATGTTTTATCTTTCACATTTTTCATATGACTATCACAAGTCGCAGGGATTCAGTCAAACCTGGACAAACCTGTTTGGCTCCAACCAGCATCACCGACTGCAGTAGATAAGAACAGAACACACACCTTCGTCTTGTCAAGCATTGATATTAAATTATATATTTCTGTGATTTGTGGAAGTAATATTCCTCATTCAAAGCACATGACTGAGGCCTGCTAACTATTATCCACAAAACTCCTAATTTGGTTTAGGCTAAATGTGTTCAGCACTAAATAAATGTGAATATTGTGGGTAATACCATAATTGGCAAATTAGCCCCAAAACTTTTTCAGTAATTTTACTTCCTGAACCAGGAAGGAATCCATGAAGTCTGTACTGTCTTTGTCGTGGTACTGTTTGTTAATGTAGAAATTAAAAGAAGAATCTTCGATTACAGTCAGCCCAGGACAAGTGTGGCTGTAGATATAATCTTCATGGATTCCATTGTTTGGGTAAAGTTGATCTACAGACATACAGTACGGTCTGCTCCAGTTTCTCTCTGTGATTTACCTGGAATGTTTGTCACTACAGCAGGACCTCTCTGCTCACCCAGGATCTGTGGAAGACCAGTCTGCGTGACTGCATGGAAGAACAACACTTGAACATGCAAGGTAAAACAACTGCATCTCCATGGCAACGGCATTGTCGGTATAACTATATCAGGTGAACACAGAAGCATTCACACCCCTGTACTTATTAAAGCTGTGGCACGTTATATGTTAAAAAAAGATTGGATCACCCTTAATCAAATAATGAATCTAGGGGCTTTCTTAGAACTTTGCAAATAAAAGTTTGATAAGATGAACACCGCATGCTGTGGTCTGATTTGTTCCCAAACATTTTTATTTTTGAAAAACTTTCTGTTGAGGCAAACATCTTTTTTTTATTCAATTGTAAATTTTTGCTGCTACTGGAAACCAGAATTACTCTTACAGAGATCAATAAAGTATCTTTCTTTCCATCATGGATTATTCATTCAACTAAAAAGTTGGGTACCATAGCTTTAATCATTCAATGAACACCCAGTAAGGCCGTTATAGCCAGCGCTGCTCTGATGATGGAAGCGAGTATGCAAAACTACAAACTAATAAAACACGTTTGACAATAGTTTCTGCTTTCGTCCAACTCCTCTATTTTAAATGAATCTCACATTTTTATTTTTCAAAAGACTTTATGCTGAAACAAAAAGAATAGAAGCAGACATCCAGGTCAGATACACAGTGATAGCACTTCATTCCAGAAGCCTGATCTCAGTCCTGATCTCAGTCCTGATGTCAGTCCTGATGTGGACACTGATCTCTCTCCTCTCACACATTCCTTTCTATTGTAACACTGACGTTTCCTGGAACATTCATGAGTTCAAAGATGTATAATAAAGTGAAATTCAGCAGTTTATATTTGGTCAATTATAAACTATCCATCCATCCATCCATCCATTTTCTTCCGCTTTATCCGTTGCCGGGTCGCGGGGGCAGCAGTCTAAGCAGAGACGCCCAGACTTCCCTATCCACACACACCTCCTCAAGCTCGTCCGGGGGGACCCCTAGGCGTTCCCAGGCCAGCTGAGAGACATAGTCTCTCCAGCGTGTCCTGGGTCTTCCCCGGGGCCTCCTCCCGGTGGGACGTGCCCGGAACACCTCCCCAGGAAGGCGTCCAGGAGGCATCCTGAACAGATGCCCGAGCCACCTCAACTGGTTCCTCTCGACGTGGAGAAGCAGCGGCTCTACTCCGAGCTCCTCCCGTGTGACCGAGCTCCTCACCCTATCTCTAAGGGAGCGCCCAGCCACTCTGCGGAGGAAGCTCATTTCGACCGCTTGTATCCGCGATCTCGTTCTTTCGGTCATTACCCACAGCTCATGACCATAGGTGAGGGAGGGAACGAAGATTGACCGGTAAATTGAGAGCTTTGCCTTTCGGCTCAGCTCCCTCTTTACCACAACGGTCCGATACAGAGACCGCATCACTGCGCACGCTGCACCGATCCGCCTGTCAATCTCACGCTCCATTCTTCCCTCACTCGTGAACAAGACCCCGAGATACTTGAACTCCTCCACTTGAGGAAGGACCTCTCCACCCACCTGGAGAGGGCAAGGCACCTTTTTCCGGTCAAGCACCATGGCCTCGGATTTGGAGGTGCTGATTCTCATCCCAGCCGCTTCACACTCGGCTGCAAACCGTCCCAGTGCATGTTGCAGGTCCTGGTTCGTTGGAGCCAGCAGGACGACATCATCCGCAAAAAGTAGAGATGAAATCCTGTGGTTCCCGAACCGGACCCCCTCCGGCCCCTGGCTGCGCCTAGAGATTCTGTCCATAAATACAGTGAACAGAACCAATTATAAACTATTCATTTACTATAAGTCCTGATCAGATCTGTTAAATGTCATTGTCATTGTGTATCCCTGTTTTGATTCTTTTGATAGTTGAGTTTTCATTCAGCTCTGTGATAATGTGCCCTGGTGGTAGAGTTATAGGATTTTTTTGCCCCATTTCTTTTACTAGTTTTTTTTTCCTTTTTTCCTTTTGAACAATGCTGTGATGAGATTCCAAGCAACAAAATCTTCTGCATTTAAAATATATACGTTTGAAACCACCTGATGTATAAATCTTTTACCTACTTTGAATCAGTTCAGTACATGTATCACTGAACAGAAAACACACTGCAGTAAACTATATTGTATAGCCTGAAACATTAGGGATCATTTTGTACAAATTCAATAACAAAATGTCCTACCTGGTCCTGACTGGATCTTGGACATAGTCCGGTCAAAGTCGTCTTGTCCTGGAATGGTCTGAAGTCACTTCCTTAAATACGTGCCTTTTTTGTTTCACTTTCTCTTGAGCTGTGTCTCCTCCCTCTCTTTGTGTTTTTCATTCATAAACTCAGTTAAAGCTGGGGTACCTAACTTTCATTTCTCATAATTAATACATCTTGTTTGGACCAACAGAGTGACTCTTATTTAAGTAAAAGGATTTTACGAAATCAGACTGAAACATCTTATTTGGAAACATGTTATCTTTTGAGTACCTGCATTTCATAGCAGTCGCTTTGACGCTTTGAGTGGGAGTGAGTGTGGTCCTGTTTCACTTGCGTGTGATTAGAACAAAACTAAGAGCAAGGAAATAGTGAGATTCTTGTTTTACAAGAATGATCAAAATGGAATGTCAGTGTGCCCCAGGGCAGCTGTGGCTACAATAGTAGTTTATCACCACCGTGTATGGAGTGAATGAATAATGACATGTGAAGCGTCTTTGAGTGTCCAAAAAAGCGCGGTGAAAAACTGATGCATTATTTTTATTATTATTATTATTGTAAAATAGTACCTTTTAATGCGTGTTAGCATTTTAAATTCGTGTGCCATGTACTCTCTTTTTTATTTATTTATTATAGGCTTTTACCAAATGGTTCAGATGCACAATGGTGGTAAAAGTGCGTAAAGTGAGATTCCCCAAAAATATATATTTCAGTTCCAAGCTTCAAGTGAATAATAGTGACTCAAAAAGTCATCTACCAAATGGTTGAAGAAATTATGAACGGGTTGAAATAAATGAATCACTACTAAACACATTAAATAACATCGGTTTTACTTTATTATTGTTATTATTATTTACTATTATAGGTATTTTTTCATGGTATCAAAACTCATCCATTATGGTATTTAAACTTATTTACTGACATTTTACTTTTAAACCCGAATACTGGTATTTACATCATGAACTGTTTGAGGCAATTAGCCATATAAAGGCAGATACATATTCATCTTGTTTATCATAATCCATCAGTATGAAACATTTATACAACAGTATAATGTCAGTGGTTCTTAATGTCTTCAATAAATTGTCAGTCAACAAAATGGATCACGTTCTGACCAAACTACATACAAAAGCTTGTAGATTTATACTTTAACCGCCTCTGAGTAATATATAGAAATATGTAAAAATATGAATTTCTAATGACACATAGTCGTATGCAGCTTCGACACACATGGGGTCCAGACCAATTTAAACTGAAGCATTAAGTTATTGTGGTGATGATCCAGGACACTCGACATTCAACAATTATGTACCAATACCAACGTTTTTTCTGTTCTTTGTGTTTGATTCTCTGATCTGTGTTGGTGAAGGTTTTGTAATGTCCTGCGGTAACTACAGTTGTGATTAAGGGCAATACAAGAATAAACTGATTGAATTGAAATTGAATTATTATACCTGTGTTTGTGCCAGTGATTTGCTATTTATAGTTTATAATAATTCTGTGATCCATGTGCAATTAAAGAAGAACCTGTCAGAACCTAGATGCTCTACATTCAAGACAATTCATCTCACAGTGAGGACGTTTTAGTACGTTTTTCTCTTATATCAGTAAATTATAAAAACGTCCCAGATTTCCAGACCATGTACAAATCAAGACAGGACCTGTTAATCTTCAGTCATGTCCGACATTTCTATATAGAGAATAGCGGCAATATTTTGCTCACTGTGTCGTTATAAATCCCGCATTCGGCCCTGGAAACAGTCCCAATGCAAGTACAGGTCTTAGGGATAGTTTACAAAATGGGATTGTCCATCCAGTGTCCTTAAAGGTTCTTTCCCGTTGTGAAGTCCCCTAGAAGTAGTTTACATCGGTGTAAAGTGACAGGGAGTGATCTTTGTGGTGAAGATGGGAGGCAGGTGCAACCAACAGAGCGCAACAAGCCATAATTGATCAAATGGGTCTTAACAGCTGGAAAGTCCAGAAAAAGTAGAGATATCACCCAACCTCACAGACACATACTAAAAACATCTACATGTACCATTTATTAACATGAGGACACGTACTACTTCAGAGTTATAGTTTAGTACATTCTAGTTCATATTTACCCTTAATCAAATCTGTAATCCCACTCTTTGAACCACAGATCAGAACATTCATATGCAGACAGAAAAAGCATTTATGAAAAACATAAACATTCTTTATTGGACATACGTTTTAATAGCACACAGGACACAGAAGAGGCCCTGGTTTACACATACATGGTGGATGCATAGATGGAGCTGGAGGAAGACTTCAGTAGTTCCTTATGGAGTTTTTGCATATTGTTTGGTTTTCGACGGTAATGGACGGAGTCTCAGAAAAGGCGCTTTTCGTAACTGGAACAAAAGAACACATAATGTGAACCGGGAGAATTATTAAACTGAAACATTTTATTTACTAGATTTGAATTGGTATGTATGGATTTGTTATCTAATCATAGAATACAGTATTCATAAGATGATAAAAGCCCACATTAGTCAAAAATGTGTTTGTAAGGAAAAGTAAGTGTGGTAAAGGTGAATGAGTGTGCAGAACTGATCCAGCCGTACGCAGAAACAGCTGATGATGAATGTGACACAGCGCATGTTATTACGAGAGGCACTCAAAGAAGACAGCCTGTGATCAAAGCAGGAAATCAATTACATAAATAAGACAATTTGGAGACAATTTGGTCATAATGCCTGAACAAAAAAAGCCACAAAATGTGAGATGTTGCTGGTGAGGGGAAGTAACTTTGAAAACCAGACAGTGGTCAGAATATAAACTGCAAACAAACAAAAAAGGTCTGGGACTAGATTTGCATGTGACCATTCAAAGCAGCTCCAGGTCAAATCAAGACCTTTTTATTGCAGTTTACTCCATTCATTATATTTTTCAATAATGTAAAGCTTTGAAGGCCTTGAATTTGGTTAAATTAAATGTAATACTTTCGAATTATGTAAGACCTTCAGATCCACCCTGGCATTGACTAAATGACTAGAACTAAACCATCATGTGCATTTATGTAACAGTGGGTTAAAAGAATTGAAGAATAGTTTAAACCTGTGTAAACTGTGGACTCCTCCCTCGACTTGTGCTGACGTGGTCCTCTTCTCAAACTTAAGGTCTCCAGAATACATCATGGCGCTGCATTCAAAAGAAGTAACCAAGATTAATATAATATATAAACATGAAAAACAGAATTTATGTTTTAAGTTTATTTACAAATAAAACATAAAATGATGACAGCCGTATTCAGCAATGAAATGATATTTATCAAGTACCGTTAATAATGAAGAGCGAAAAATTCAAATAGTGGATTTTCAGGCCATTGCCTCCAATTCACTCACATACAGTCATAAAAAAAAAAATTTGAAATAAGTTTTGCTGAACAATTTAAAAATTCAATTGACTGGCCATTGATACAGTTTGCCTGGTCCATATTTTATTCTGCCATTTCAAACACCACCATCTCTTTGAGAGAGACACAAAGAGTCTGTGCCTGCTATAAGTGAGAACAAATGAGCTGTTGCGATAGAGGGAGACTCCTAAATGTACTGTACGCCTTAACGCTTAACTATAATGTACTATATACTTGGAAGGCACTATATACCTTCCATCATCCATATGAATAAATCTTGTACAGGCTTGTGAGGAAGCCGGGGAAACATTGACAGGTGCTGAAGTTGCACAAAGGAAAAGCCGCTGAAACCAACGGGCAAACTTCCACAATGTGGTCTCAGTGAAACTGAAATAGGATCATTTGGAAATCCACTGCGAATCTGAAAATTGCTGAATCAAGATGTAATTTTGAGGAATCATACAATAAAGGGCAGACTCTGCAAGCTCTACCCATGCTACAGTTCTCCTAGCTTCAACAGTATGGGATTAGACAGAAGTGTGGATGTAATCACCGCAGTTGTGTTAGACTCTTGGCTCCGATGTCCTGACAAGAGTGTTGGATTCCAGCGAGGAGATATGGAATAAATTTATGGATGGACCCTTTGTCCTGCACGGCTCCTGAGACGCCCTGAGCCACTTTGATCTTATCACACTCACTGCAAAGACAGAAATAAAACATTTCTTACTGATCTTTTTGAGTGAGTTAGTTGTCAGAGAGAGTGGTGTTTAGATTAAATTGAGAAATCTATGAGATCAAAGGATTGTAATTCATGTGGACACATCGTTAATGAGACCAGGAAGTTTGTAGCAGAGGGCGCAACATTAGAAGCATTACCTGAAGTATCTAGTTTGAGATCCTAAGTTCTTGTCCATCGCATCCAGTGAGCCCATCCCTCTGTATTTCTTCAGTCTGATTCCGTCAGAGAAGAAATATTCACCTGGAGCTTCAGTGGTAGCAGCGAGTAACGACCCCATCATCACTAAGGAGAGAATATTATGTGTTTATTATTTACTGGTCCTTTCGTACTACTTTGAGGTATGTCTTGTATAAAGGTCAAATTAAACCGACAAACGTGACATTATATTTTAGATCGAGTTTTGATGAAACAAGGAAGAGAATGTGTTTCGGGTCGCAGATTGTGACCAATCACAGCGGACCACTGACCTCCACTTTCGTGAGAAATCTCCAGGTCCGTTAGCATAGACGGCTGAGTTAGCACAACAAGCGGCGGAGCTAACCTGAAGCTTCGTGTGTCTTCGTCACCGGTTACTGCTTACACAGCTAAACAGCCATCCAAAAGAAAGTCCCGTTCCTCCGCGCTTCCCGGTTCTATCGTTGTATGGTCACGCCATCCACGTGCAAATCCATGTCCATGTATTATCCATATCGGGAGACGCTAGCTCCGTCCCAACAGTGAGTGTGTGTGGGGGGCGATTGCTTCGTGGGTGCGGGGAGGGGAGCAGAAAGAGCGAGGCCAGCAGGTCCGCGGCTTCAAAATCCCAAAGTCAGTTAGTGCAGCTTTAACCATCTCAGAAACAAACAAACACTGATTGTACATAACTTATGAGGAATTGTATTGAGCATAAATGCATATGAATATTAAAAAAATAATGTTTTTTAATGTTCATTGTTGTCAAGATTGTAGGATCATAATAATGAAAATATGTAAGAATGGGTAAGAATTAGTGCTGTCCAACAATTAAAATATTTAATCGCGATTAATCGCATGAAAATAGTTAACTCGCGATTAATCGCAAATTAGTCACACATTTATCTATTCTTTATGTCCCTTGAATTAATTAAAATAAAATAAAAATAATAAAATAAAATAAATAATAATAATAAAATAAAAAATGAATGAATAAGTAGATAAATATAATAATTACATGAATAATATGTGCATATGTGCATATAATGATAATACACAAGTCAGGGTAAGCGAAAGCTTATTTTAATGCATGACACGTTTAGTTAAGAAAAACACTTGGGAAAAAGGAACAAAATAAGAGAGGGAATGGGCCGGGCGTGGGCTCCCTCCCCCCTTTTTGGGGTGGGGGCCTGCTTGGGGGTCTGTGTGTGTGTCGGATTTGGTTTTGATGTTGGCTGGGTTCCGCTTAGCTTGGTGAAAACTCAGGCGGGCAGACTTTATATCTTATCTTATCTGTGGGGTGTATGTGTGTGTGTGGAGTGTGTGTGTTTATGGGTGTGGGTGTGTGTGTGTATGTGTGGGTATAGACCATAGACTGTATAGAAACATCATGGTGTCATTATGATGATGATAAACAATCTGTAAATATTTTGTAAATTTGTTCATGTAAATACTCTATGCTGTTTCTCTGTTTACTTTCGGTATATCTATGACTGTATACTGTTTGCTTGTATTGCCTTTTTTATTATTATACTTTAACCAGCCCAGGCTAAACCAGGAAAGTATATTATTGAGTGTAAAGTTACCAGTGGAAGCTCCGAGGGCTAGTGCTTTAGCGCTGTGCCCCACAGTCTGTATGCCTCCGTCTGCGATCACCGGGACTCCAAACCGCCGAGCGTATTCAGACACCTTATAGACCGCAGTGGCCTGAGGACGACCACAGGCCAGAACTGAGGAGAGAAAAAAGGTCAAACAGGCAGGAAAAAGAGGCCTTTATTAAAGCAAGAATAACTTTTGTTGAAAATAGTTTTCAATGCAATGAACTGCATGAATCAACCGGAATGCTTCTAGTGCGATAATGGCAAGTACAAGGTGGTCAAAGTTTAGTTAAGTTTGTTTTGGACAACACTTTTTCATTCTCATTCCCACATTAATGCCAAATGTGGATCTGTGTCAGGGTCTGAAAGAATATATGAAGAGTTTGGTTCCAAAACGCTATAAATCCATTTTGATCAATTTGAGTAAAACTGCGTTTTCTATAGCAAGAAAATGATATGATGATAACCACTATTTTCTGTTCCAAATCTTCATATAGCATCAGAAGGTTATAATAACATAAAAAATTAAAATCAAATTTTTATATTTAAAGATTTATTTTAAAAAACTTTTTTTTTTTTATCAAAACGCAACAAATCCATGGCATGCACTTTTTTTTAACAAAATGCTATAAATCCATTGCAGCAATACAAACTTTTTTTTTTAACCTGTGCACAAAGTACAATAAAAAACATCAAATGTTGATCTACATTAAGAACTGCAACAATACTGATTCAATATTTTGGTCCACAAACAACCCATTTAATCAAAAACAGAGTGGAAAAGTGCATTCATAACAAACAACAAGAACACGTATGGAAAAAATAACCAAAATCCCATTCTTCTTACATTCAAACTTCCATGTTAAATTCATTTTTGCATTTTTTAACACAATACATTAATTATGATGTCATTGTATTTTATAAATCATCCCGTTGATAAAAAAAAAAAACATTTCTGTAAACAATTGTGCATAACTATACAAGAAAGAAACAGTGCAATCTCATTCAAAAAGGTATTTTTTTCTCTCTCCTATTCTTCATGACTGTCACTGTCAACATTCACCTGTGACAGTGCATCACTGTAAAAGGCACGCACACCATCGCTCGCACCAATTTCACGCAGCAGGTTCAGCACGTCTCTTCTCTTTGCTTCCTTCACTGTGCTTTCATTGGCCAGTTGACCTGGCTTGAAGCTTGCCCAGGTTTTCCCTCTCTTCAGAACAGAGTGTATGCAGTAATCACCGTTATACACAGCCTTGAACCCAACCTTGCCATTTTTCAGCTCCAGCATTCTCGCTTCACTTAACTTAAAGGACTTCTGTGCCTTTACAAAAGCCCTGGTCTCCTCCTTGAAATCATAAGCCTGCCAGTGTTGCCCGTAGATATGAACCTTTCCATGATTTTGCAGGATCTCATAATACTCCTCTGGCATGAGGATGGTGTCCTTTCTCCGTATCTGTTGCTCAATCCTCCCAAAAACACAAGCCACAGGCAGAAATCTGTGCCCCCTGATAGGAAACACGAACTCTGCTCCAATCCCGGGACATTCCGCTTTCATCAAGGCAAACAGCATGCTTAGCAGGTTCATATTTTTGTTCTGACCAAAACAAGAATCGCTGAACAGTCGCAGCCTTTGGGTGCGGTGAACAGCACCACTCAACTCTTCACGGAAGCAGTGGTCCAAGGCAGAAGCAGTCATGTTGCTCCCTTTCCTGTTCTCATGCTCCATCCAGGTGTAAAGATGGACATCCTCCATGGCTTGTCTACTGCCCTTCCCATGGTGGACAACGACTCCAAATACATACATATAGAGCTGCCGAGAATAATAGGCCTGACCAATGGGTGTTCTAGGTAGCACCAAGTTCTGCATCATGTCAAAGCAGATCATAAAAAACCTGTGCTCTTCTTCTATGTAAAATGTATGTTGCTGACTCCCTACGTTTTTCATCGTCAGATAAGCTAGGGTCCTTAACTCGGTGGTGAAATTTAACGCATGATGAACAGGCATCGGTAGCTGGATGGCCAAATCCTAAATTGAACTGATGTCGGAAAACGGAGTAATAAAGGGAGTAGCTCACAAGATCGTGATTTTGCTGGTCGAATAGTTTGTGCATTTTTGTCACACTGAGGTCACTGGGCAGGTACTTGCGACCAGGTGCTCCCCTTCTCCCATAATGGCTAGCCCTGCATGTAAAGGTTTGGATGTGATCCTTTACAAGTTGTTTCTTCAACTCATTTTCATCCACTTTACGTGCACCACCTCTGTGTTCTGGTCTGGCTGTAGCATGGACTGCATAATACTTTGCCACTCGAGCCACGCGATCTTTGCCAATACCTGCAAGATAAGAACATTATTATTTTTTGCCTATATGGTATTAATTTATACATGTATGTTTGTTTGTATTTATTTATTATTATTTGTATTGTATCTATTTATTTGTTTAATTATGCATTTAATTATTTGATTATTTTATCAAGTTATGTATAGTTATGCATACATCTCAGACACTTAAATGGTAGTCAATCAGTGGTGAATTTTGGAGGTAAATAAATTAAACAAACGTAAACCATTAAAAGTACAGGAGAAGCTCAGCGTTCTTTAAAAATCACAGGAAATTGCATCAAATAATGCTTTATGACCTGGATGAATGCTAATGCTGAATGTGAATTCATGAATAGGACAGTCTATAGTTAGGACAGACCTGTCTCACTTGCACTTTGATACATGCCAGGCTACCTTAAAAGTACGTGTTGTGAATTAAGCTGCTGCCATATATTATTTCGAGTTTGAATGTGTTATCTGTTGGAGGAAAAGCATTCTAACATTTTTAAATGCTGTAAAAATGTGCATAAGTAATATTCAATTTCAACATTTCTGTCAACGTAGTGCGCGTCATATCCTGTGACGCGGCCCGCGCCATGCGGCCGCGGCTGTAAACAAACCGGCGTGTGTGCATCATAGACTGTAAGTGCGCACGGATCCCAAAGCTAAAAAGAGAAAGAGTCGATGATAAGACTGGACTAAGAATGAGAATGAACATAATTTGCTTTCAGTCAACGAGGAAGGACTGCTTCATGTTTGTAATGAAAGGTTTTGTTGCAACACGAGGAACAATGACGCGCAAAAACACAGTTTACGGTGATTACGTGAAGGATTCATTCATCAAAAACTCAGAGGACCTATTTTTTGACTTCAAAAACCTTCGCAAAGACGATGAAAGAAAGGGCCATTAAGGACATTTATTCAGCTCCAGGAAACTTCAGCCTGTGACGTGATGGATATGAGCAGACAGTGATGCAGGTATGTGACCTCTGAGCCCAAAGCAGATTGATTTACTGTATTTTGACAATTGCATGAAGGCAAAAAAATGGAAGTTAAACTTAAAGCAGAGTTTTCACGTGGTGCGACACGCTGCAGTAATACTCATTTGATAATCATGAATGTTTATTATGTATTTGTAGCCTTTACTTTGTCATTTAGATATTAGGCTAATGTAGCTAATACAGCTTCAGCCTGTGTTACCTTCATAAAAGCCTTATAAGGCTGTTATTTTTTGCGGCTCCAGACGGATGTTGTTTTTGTTTTTTTGTCAAATATGGCTCTTTGAACCTTTTTGGTTCCTGAGCCCTGATCTAGACATTTAAATGTGACATCGCTGCTTAGTAAGCTTCACTGTTCTCCCTGCAGGAGAAAGGAGCGTTACCAATGATACAATACGAGCAGGCAGGCACCACTAAATCTTCAATAAACTACGTGTTATATAGGCTATTAAAACAAAATTGAACTCACCCAATACGCTGCAAAAGGTGGCCTTGCAGACTGGAATCTTCCGGGGATGGTCTTCAGTCAGTAAATAATATTGCGTCGTGACATTCCTATTCTTTCGACTGCCGGTTTCGTCAACTTTCGGACGTCTCCGTTGGACTTTTTTTACGGTAATAAGTTGCAACATTGCTTGGTCTTGCTTGATTTTCGTTGGGTCATCGTAAAAAATTTCAAAGTTTCTCTGTATATCGCCTGGTGTCAATGTGTCAGCGTTACAGAAGTTTGAGTCTTTGGTGTGTTTACAGATGACAGCTGGCATTTTCCCCCCTCCTGAGTGCTTCATCTTCTTAATAGTCTCACGGCTGTGATTGTCTTTAGACGGTTTACGTTTCTTACCAATAGCAGAAATCACCACAGGCTCATCGATGTCATCAAAATTATTCATTGTCGTTTATTTCCGCTGTATATTGCAAAGTAATCTCTGATACCGGCTCTTTTCAGGGCGCCGCCATAGTTGTTTGCTAGACGTGGAATGCTACGCTGTGATTGGTCGAGTGGATTTGTCGTGTTCTGCGGAAAAGGTGGATTGGCGTTTATCGCTGTTTGGAAAGAATGGGAGAAAGCAGGACGGAATAAAACGGCGGATATCGCGTTTTGCTGCAAAACTGAATATGGAGTTATCAACAGTGGCCAAATACACTTCAGAATTTGGCGCCAACTCATTTTTTTTTTAAATGGCGTTTATCGCGTTTTGGAACCAAACTCTTCATATAATCATGTAATATTCCAATGCAAAATGGAATATTAAATATTGCAGACTGGTTTTATATGTGCACAAAAATAATGTTTGGAAACATGGTAAAAAAAACTAAGTCAGGTGCTCTGTTAGTTACCAGTTCTGACCAAAAGCCAGAATTGTTCACTGTTGCTGAACTGGTCAGGCCATTAGTTTTAACACAGAACAGGAGCAACCCCAAAACCTGCAAGTCTTTACACACCAGAGGGAAACATACTAGAACAATAGCACAATATGGGACTACTGATCTAGTTTTCACTTTACGCTAAGACAGCATTTTATTAACACAAGTTATTGGAAAGAACAAGAAAGAATATTGTTAAGTCTCTTGACGTTACATCAATGGAAGGTTCCAAGTAACTATGGATTACACAGAGTAAACCCAGTACGGTGTGGGCTTTGGGTCTGGTGTGTAAGGTCCTTGACACAACCACTACTGATGCAAAGCTGTTAACCAATCAGTGCAGCAGGCTGTGAGGGGGCAGGCACTCTTTGCCAGTAGAAGCCCAGCGCAGGCCAGAGTGGGCGGGACTTACTGGAGTATCCTGTAATTGTGGTTGGGGTTTTGGGGCTGTGGAGCTTTATGGCAGGAGGGACAGAGGGAGGTGCTACAAACAACGAGACGACAGAACGCCACAACAACTTGAATGTTGTTCAGATCAAGAAAATAAAGACTGTGACAGATTCAAACTATGAACATTAAGCTCAGATGCTGTTTATCATTCCCCCAATGATAATAAACAACACTTCCTTCGGTTTAAGGAGTCTTTCCGTGTTCAAGGACACCATACAAAAAAAGCCCAATATATTTTATTCATTATATATTCTAGAATCTTTAAAATCTTTTTTATAAAGATATAATATGTACAGTGCCTTGCGAAAGTATTGAACCTTTCAACATTTCGCCACATTTCAGGCTTCAAACAAATATATAAAATTGTAATTTTTTTGTCATGAATCAACAACAAATGGGACACAATCGTGAAGTGGAACGAAATTTATTGGATAATTTAAACTTTTTTAACAAATAAAAAACTGAAAAGAGGGGTGTGCAATATTATTCGGCCCCTTTACTTTCAGTGCAGCAAACTCACTCCAGAAGTTCAGTGAGGATCTTTGAATGATCCAATGTTGTCCTAAATGACTGATGATGATAAATAGAATGCACCTGTGTGTAATCAAGTCTCCGTATAAATGCACCTGCTCTTTGATAATCTCAGGGTTCTGTTTAAAGCGCAGAGAGAACCATGAAGACAAAGGAACACACCAGGCAGGTCCAAGATACTGTTGTGGAGAAGTTTAAATCCGGATTTGGATACAAAAAGATTTCCCAAGCTTTAAACATCTCAAGGAGCACTGTGCAAGCAATTATATTGAAATGGAATTTCAATTAGTATTAGACCACTGCAAATCTACCAAGACCCGGCCGTCCCTCCAAACTTTCATCTCAAACAAGGAGAAGACTGATCAGAGATGCAACCAAGAGGCCCATGATCAGTCTGGATGAACTGCAGATAACTACAGCTGAGGTGGGAGAGTCTGTCCATAGGACAACAATCAGCCGTGCACTGCACAAATCTGGCCTTTATGGAAGAGTGGCAAGAAGAAAGCCATTTCTCAAAGATATCCATAAAAAGTCTGGTTTAAAGTTGGCCACAAGCCACCTGGGAGACACACCAAACATGTGGAAGAAGGTGCTCTGGTCAGATGAAACCAAAATCAAACTTTTTGGCCACAATGCAAAACGATATGTTTGGCGTAAAAGCAACACAGCTCATCACCCTGAACACACCATCCCCACTGTCAAACATGGTGGTGGCAGCATCATGGTTTGGGCCTGCTTTACTTCAGCAGGGACAGGGAAGATGGCTAAAATTGATGGGAAGATGGATGGAGCCAAATACAGGACCATTCTGGAAGAAAACCTGTTGGAGTCTGCAAAAGACCTGAGACTGGAACGGAGATTTATCTTCCAACAGGACAATGTTCCAAAACATAAAGCCAAATCTACAATGGAATGGTTCACAAATAGACGTATCCAAGTGTCAGAATGGCCAAGTCAAAGTCCAGACCTGAATCTAATCGAGAATCTGTGGAAAGAGCTGAAGACTGCTGTTCACAAACGCTCTCCATCCAACCTCACTGAGCTCGAGCTGTTTTGCAAGGAAGAATGGGCAAGAATTCCAGTCTCTCGATGTGAAAAACTGATAGAGACATACCCTAAGCGACTTGCAGCTGTAATTGCAGCAAAAGGTGGCGCTACAAAGTATTAGCGCAAGGGGGCCGAATAATATTGCACGCCCCACTTTTCCGTTTTTTATTTGTTAAAAAAGTTTAAATTATCCAATAAATTTCATTCCACTTCACGATTGTGTCCCACTTGTTGTTAATTCTTGACAAAAAAATATTTTTTTATATCTTTATGTTTGAAGCCTGAAATGTGGCGAAATGTTGAAGTTGAGCCTAAAATATAGTTGTTCCACTTCTGCAGAGATCAGGTCCAATTGAAACTATTCAAATGAACTTTGCATGCAAAGATATGCTCCAGTTGTACATGGGAGGTATATAAAAAGGTATAAAAGACAATAAAAGCCAAAACAGAATAGAATCTTAGAAATGAGTAAGATTGAAGTCACACATTACTCCCAGGGGAAAGTGAAACTTACCTTCTTGTGTGATGCATATAGAGCCAGAGCCCATCCCGACCCGGAGCGCATCCACTCCAGCATCGATCAGATTCTTGGCCTGAGCAGCGGTCACCACTGAGGAGCACACAGTTTAGAAAAATGCAACACAACTGCCTCCTGGTGGTGCCTGTGTGTACTGACCATTGCCTCCAATCACCTGCAGCTCTGGGTACTTCTCCTTTATGTATTTGATCATATTAATCTGGAAAATGGAGTTTCCCTGAGAGGAGTCCTACAGACAGAAAAAAACAGCATATAAATATAAAATGTAAATTGAAAATCTCAATTTTAATATATTTTATTCAAAAAAAAAACATTTGATTTTTGAATAATGAGCGTTGAGGAACTTAAGTGTTTCTATTGTGTTATAACTTAACATGTACAATTTTTAGAAGATCCTTTAACAACACTGAATACCTGTAGTTATGATAGATGGTTGCAGAAATAGTACAGAAAAAGGCTTGCAGATGTAGTAGTATGCTAGCTAGCGGACACATTTGAACTGTGCCTCTCGGAGTCTCACCAGGACCACCACGTCCACGCCGCTCTGCACCAGCAGGTCCAGTCTGTACTTGTCGTCGTTGTGCGTCCCGATGGCTGCTCCACACAGTAGCTGCTTCCTCGGGTCTTTCGAGGCCAATGGAAAGTCTCGGTTCTTCTTCAGGTCTGTGCGGGCGATTATGGACACCAGGTGGCCCTCTTCATTCACAATAGGAAGTTTCCCTGGAAAAAAGGACATGATATTGTCATAATAAGGTGTCTATAAGATTGCCAGGATCAAAAACATAGTGTGTAAAGCAGACCTGGAGATTCTTATCCATGCATTTGTCTCCAGTAGGTTAGACTACAGTCTTCTAGAAGTCTAGAAGACCATATTCAGTAGAAAGGAGTTTTTGACATATGATTAGTATCGATCTTTTTCAATCTATCACTATCAAATAAGGATCTCTTTTAAACTAATACATTTAGCCTAATGAGCTTTTATTGCCACCCGTCCTCCAACTGAAGTAGAATTCTACAACATGAACACAAACCATAGAAGATAATCTAAATAAAATACCTTTTTTACTCCTTTGAAGGATTCCATTGGCCTCTTTCAGGGTGATTCCTGCTGGCGCCACAACTAGATCCTCTTGCTTTGTCATCACCTGGATTAAACAATGCAATATTAATATTAATTTAAGATTTTTTGTTTCAATCATAACATGTTATAGTTATTAAATTATAATTAGAAATAACTTTGATAAGATCCAACCTGTATTTACTGCATCTGTACACTTACAAATGTATATAAACATTGAGAGGTTATGACCATGACTTATCTGTAAAGCTTAAAACCTCTCCCTACCTCGTTTAGTGGCAGGTCATGGTCCTCCTCCTTCAGGAAGTCGATGTCTCTAGAGGAGATGATTCCCACCAGCTTCCCTCCCATTTTCCCGTTGTCCGTGATGGGAATGCCGCAGAATCCATGACGAGCTTTGGCCTGGAACACGTCTCGCACGCATTCGTTTGGACTCATCACCACTGGGTCCGTGATGAAGCCCTGTTCATATCGCTGCAGGAAAGCACAACAGCAGCAGGGAGCTCACGTGAGGCAGAGGGCGCTAAATGGGATACTATTTGTAAACTACAGGTGTAGGAGGGACAAACATCCAAGATTATTCCTGGATAAAATACACAATGCTTTTACGTTCATAACCGTTTCACCTACATGGTCCTAAAGATTGATAGATCCTGTGTGATGAAAGCAGTACCTTGACTTTGCGAACTTCATTGGCCTGGAACTCTGGAGTGCAGTTGTGGTGGATGAAGCCGATTCCACCGGTCAGCTGGAGAAAACAACCATCAATTAGCATTTTTAGAAATACAGAATACTTGAGCTACATGAGCTGCAATGTTACCATTGCTCTCCCCACTCCCACTGTTTTAATTTATTTGCCATTAGAGATGGAGTTTTATTCTTTGTATCATAATCATCACATCATGATCATCACAATTTTATACTGCTTTAATTTGTTTAAGTTTGTGACTTCCTGTTACTCACATGGCAATAAAAGGATTCTGATTCTGATGCATCAATAAATAAAAATATTGAAACAAATTTTTTGGAGTAACAGTGGCTCAGTTGGTAGTGCATTGGCCTTTTAGCCTGAAGATTGCGTGTTCGAGGCCACCACAAGACCTTCACTGACTCCCACTGATGTCTGCTGTCTTCTTGTGCAATACACTTAACTTAACCCACTTTGCCTGAAGTTCCCGCCTAAAGTTCAAGGCTGTACAGACACTGACAGAGCAGCCGACCTCCTGTGGACTCACCACCTGCAAGGGGATCAGTGAGGGACTGGTGCTCAGTGAATTAGGTGGCAGCTGATTGCCCTCCCCCCATCTAGAAATGGATTAAGGGGAAGAAAATGGATGGGTGGATGAAACGTTAATTTTAGTTAATATGAAAAAAAAAAGACAACAATTTTTAACAGTGCTGAAGAGTTAGGACATATCTTTTAGAACATTGTTTTAGCTCAATAATGAGATTTCATATTATATATAAAATAAAAAAATAATCTAACATATTTTGTTTTATCAATTTGAAAAAAATATGTATATCTTGCCATTAATAGACGTAATAAAAATGCATCGATAGTGTTGTAAATATTTTATTGTGTAAAGGGGCCAAAAGCTTTAAAAATTAATTGTATTGTTTATAAAATCGCATCAAATTGAAAGCCCTGTGTATCTATGCATCCTAACGGCAGGCTCCGAAAGCTATAACAGAACACAAACTACAAACAAAAGCCATATTGTCTGAGGAGCGATCGCAGGACCTGCAGAGACTAAAGTATCTACATTCCTGAACACCTCCCTCGTTCAGGGCTTGCCAGTGTTTTCTTGCACTCACTGCCATAGCGATAGCCATGTTGGCCTCTGTGACGGTGTCCATCGGAGAAGACACAAAAGGAGTTTTCATTGTGATGCGTTTGGTCAGGGCTGACGTCAGGTCCTGAACAACACAGAAAGAATAAGTTCAGTTAAAATTTGTGTTAAATCAGTCTCAGTAAGTTGACAGACAACATAAAGCAACTCTAGACTACAGTCTGCAGAGGGTTAGGGTTTAACAAGCAGAGTTTCAGACTGTTAGAATAGCTTATCTCCATTTTCAAACAATAACTAAATTATTGTGATTTCATCATAATAGATCTTTTAATTAAACAGTTCCTAGTAAATAGTGAACATGAAAAATCTTCACATAACCCAACGACATTGACAGCAGTGTTATATGACAGTAAAATCTCACCACTTGTTCTGCTGTGAAGTCGATGTACCCGGGAAGGATCAGGAAGTCACTGAAGAGAGACACACAGTATGATAAATACAATGTAGTGTAAGAATACAATATGTTTAATGTATCCAATATCAGACAATGTTTATAAACCACTAAAAAAGTACACAGAATTGACAAACATGTTTGACATTGTCAAAAACCATAAAATCTAATGGACACATTTATAACGAACCATAAACCCAACACGGCAATGTTTTGAAGATCACTATTCCCAGAATGTACAGTGCGTGAAGCCCTGAGAGCCCACCCAACCCATTCAGAGAAGTCTAAAAATATTGGGGAGCAGAGTCCAGCCTGTTAATCCTGCTCCATTTCTGGATGTCTATGGAAGGGGACTGTGGACCCGGCCTTCGAGGCGTCTGCTGGTGCCGAACATGTTTGGCATTTTCCATGAAGATCAAAACACAACTGTTAAATATGATTATTATGCACCACTGTTTGTGGCAATTGAAATAGAACTTTATCTTTAACAAATATAATTAAATCCCCGCACTAACAAAACATGAATGTAGCAGTATCTTTCATTGTTCAAAAGTAAGCACTCTGGACGTGTCAATCTCTAAAACTCTTCCATCCTTTCTCACAAACGAATTTTATATAGACTTCAAAGTTCACAGACAACGGTTGTAAATATGAGGGGGTGAAAAAACAGTGCTTAAAGTGAGGAATGTGTCAGGGGAACTAGCTGCAAATAAAGTCCTAGTAAATAATGTCATTGTGCGTAAATACCTGTATGTAAATAGGCAAGACAAGGGAAATATAGTAGACATTTAGAGAAAAAAGCAAATTCCATTCCAGAATAGTATATTGGCTTACTAAACTATCATATTCATTAAAAACTAGTAGTCCTATAAGCTTTTTCTTTCTCTTTACTCTCACACCATGCCTAGGTGTACTGTGCTATGGACGGTGGGTCACGTTTCCTCCACAAAAGGTTAAATATTTCAGGGTCTTCAGCTCATGCTTCAAAAGGGTTCCAATGTCCAGGGACATTGCCGTAGTTATGAAGCTGGTGAAACTGCCCATTGATACTGCTGCCAGTGTTTTGGCTCAACATCAAAGTAAATTTAGAATCAAAACAAAGTACGTTGTATAATTTCCCTCTTGAAAAGCACCTTTGAATGAAACTTTGCTGGTTACTACTTTGTTTGCCATTAACCAACTTTGTGAATGACTGCACGTTTTGTTCTCCCTCTTCAATAATGCCACTACTAATACATTAGTTATAGCTTTTATGTTGGTCAAGTCTGTGTTGAGGTAACTAACTAAGCTACATGAAAACAGTTTATCACAGTGGAAGCAATCACATTACATTCTTGACCCCAGACAATCGCCTGACTGAATCATAAGAAACATACAGTCTGTGATAGATAGTTTAATATCTGCGTGTTATGCAAGGGTGCTTCGTTACTTGTAGGTGAGGCCATCTCCTCCTCCGAACAGCTGCTGTCCGCTGAGCCCGTCCTCCGGTACGTACCCGGTCTGTCCACTGATCAGTAGTTCCGCCATTACGACCCCAAAAGTCCTCTCTACCTGGACAGCCCACCTGAAGCAACACGGGGACGCTTTTACGCACCAATAAGTGGACGTCACGCAGAGATAGCCACGAAAACACGCAAGCTGGTGTCAAACTGAGAGTCAGAACCAGCTCAGCTCCACACTTGTGCTAGCTGACAGCGTTAGCCTGCGTCAGTCCAGAAGCCCCAGGGAGGTGTGGTTACAATCTGGGGACTCGAGGGGCTGTCCGATTCTGTGGTCCGGTGAACGGGTCTTGTGGTTCGGTGGTCGGTGCGGTGGTTTGGAGGGGCAGAAGTCTCATCCTGATGTGCCGCAGCACAGCGACACACGTGGGAGCGACGCACGCACGTGGGAGTGACGTACGCACGTTTCCGACAGAGGCAGCGTCACATCCGACACGCCCACTCGTGGTCAAATCAATCAGCCATAATAAAATAAAACTAAAATAAAGAAGAATTAAAGTCACAATGGATTCAGTTACAACATTTGTCAATAAACGATGTCATGTATGGTGTGTTTATTGAGGATGGACTAATTGACTTTGGTAAAAATTATATATTATTGGCAAAACAATCTATTCATAAGTGCCGTTTTTTCAAAACTATTCTGACCTTTGGCCATTGGAGTTAGTTCAAATTATTTAATACATCACTCATTCATATCAATACAAAGAGCTCCATGAAACGTCTTGCTTTCATTGACATGTGTCTGTTACTTGTACAGCTACTGTAACTTATGAAGTCTGAGATCAAGCCTCCTTTTTAGTTTTATTTTATTTTATATTTTGAATGAGTTTGTCTTTTGTGTAAATATTATGCAAAAGACAAAAAAATATGATAAGATGGACTTTATTGATATCACACAGGGGAAATTTAAATAATGATAATAGTAATAATGTAAAATCATTTTAACTTGAATAAATAGACATGTTCACCAAATGTTTCCATCTCTCACTGAAACACATTGTGAAACTCTTGACTGAGAACTTACAAAATATGCGATATGTGAATATGGATCACATATTTTGGTGTGATTTATTTTAAACTAATATTTTGCAAAAAGGAAGTTGCAATGAAAGTTATACAAATGCAGGTACAGCTTTTCTGTCTATTCAGCACTCTTGAACAAGTATTCCTTGAGAAAATCAAAAGTATTTGGTCAATTGGATCAATTATTCAAGAGAAAAATTTAATTGTAATTGAAAACCAATGTCATTCGAACACTATCACAATGTCAGATAATGTTATTGACCAACTCACTCAACACTGCTAAGGAATTATGTTTTTATAAGATGTTTACAAGAGCTCTTGACTCAAGGCCTAACTTCAGTTCCTGATTCAAACTGGAATTTCATCCATGAAGTATCCTTCATAAACACCATTGCATGTGCCCTAAGAAGTGTGCCAACTTTAAACTGGGTTAGACTTGAGCCCACTGCTACGTCATGCAAACTTCAGCTGCCGCTCTACAATCTATATTTAAAAATAAGTTGCTAAATCACTGAGGTCAAAAATGAGTCATAGCAATTTTTAGGCTGCGAGTATGTAACTGAAACTTAAACTAAAAATTAATTGGTGCATTTTGTAATAAACATTGGACGTGGTTGCTTCTTCAGAATTTTGTTTTATTGCTGTGTGTAGGCTTGTATGTATAGGCATATAAACTTTCACATGTGAAGGAAGACCAATTCAAATTTCGAGATGATTCAAGTTGTTGCCAGGGTATGCGCAAAACAGCAACACATTGTAGTTTATATATACACACCCTGAATATATAACCCTAAACCATCCATTCTCTACCCCTTAATCCATTTCTGGCCAGAGATGCCACCCAGTACACACAGCACCAGCCCCTCACTGAACCTCCTGCAGGTGGTGAGTCCACAGGAGGGAACCATAACCCTGTTTATATATACACTAAACCAGGCAACACATTGTAGTTTATATATTTAAAGACTTGTAATTTAGCCTTGTGAAGTCACTCGCTTGACTTAAATGTAAATGGAACAATTTCATGCCATACTGTGGAACAGACCTTCAACTGGAATAAAATGTGTAAAGCACCTTTACAGAAAAAATATATATATATTCCAGGCCTAATAGTGTGTGAGTGTGTAATAAGACACAGAAGCCAGTTACGGTTTTAAAAACTCTCAGTAACTCTATTTCTGTATTAATGTACAACCGTTGAAAATTACAGCCATTTTTTTTTTTACTTTTAATTTTTTTTAAACTTTATCAATTAACAGCCATTTTCCGGAAGTGAAAGATGGGCGAGCGAGTTTAAAGAAGGGAAACAAAGACGATAAGTTGTGGCATATAACAATGTCATGAATTAGAAGTGAGTGGAGGAGGACGTAGGCTGCTGCGGAGTGTTTGTGCATGCCATGTCAGTGGGGCGCTGTAGTGTGTGACAAAAGCTTGAGCTACACTTAAGGCTTCAAAGACTTGGAAAAATAGTCTGCAATAAATAAAGCTCAAAATAAAACAACTTTGTCCACTGAAGTGGAGCTTGTCAAATGGTCTAATGAGTAATTAAGTGTGTTAATTGTGAAACAGTGGCAAAATATTATTTAAAAAAAGGTTTTGTATACACACAATTTAATATTATACATGGGCATGCAAACTAAGTAGGAAAATATTGCCATCCCCATATCCAGTGTTTATATAGGAATACCATTTCACAATTAACACCTCAATAATATTTTCAAGCAAGTTTGAAAGAATAGTTACAACATTCAAGTTCATCCGTCATTGTTGTATTAGCTGTTGAATATTTTAAAAAAAGATATTGGAATAAAGTGCGTTTATTTTTTGCAGACCAATTTGGAAGCAACACACCGTCACAGCAAAGATGAAATATCATGAGTTGCTACAGTTTGGGAAGGTATTCAAACCCAATGAGACAATGTGGACTGAATTTATGGATGTAATCGAGAAGCGTCTGAAAACAGACTTAACCTGGTCCCAAAGCTTAATACCACTAGTAAATCGCATTTGAAAAGGAAAGTCTGTAATAGAAACACGTATAAAAATTGAGATTTTTACAATTTTCACATCCCAAAAGGTACGCGCAAATGTGGCAAAATGTAATCTTCAAGTATAATAAAATAAATATACAAGAAAATCCACATGACTTGTACTTGGCAAATGCTGTTTGTAGTACTGCAGGTATCTCTAGAGAAACAAGTGACGAGTAGTGTTTAGACTTACAACTATTGCTTTGACGAACCCTAAAAGCATCTGATGCCTTTGTATGAAATCTGTCAAATCCATTTCCATTTCTCTTAAGATTTTCTAGAAACGTGGATGAGATTTACAGTTTTAAGCAACTAAAATTGTATATTGAAGCCATAAGTGTAGCTACAAAACAATGAATGAATACAATCGTGCTATAGTGAACCCTGCAGCTTTTTGAGTAAAAATGAATAACAAGAAAATTATGAAAACATATATTTGAGTGAAAGAGGGATTCGTAGGCAGAGGGAGATGAAGAGGAGGTGGTGTGGGGTTCATGTGTCGTGAAAGTCTTTGAGCAGCGTGCGTCTTCTCTGCTCTGCAATGTGCATCTGGTTCTCCAAGTCCTGAGAAAAAGAAAAAAAACGTATTAGGAGCGAACATGTGGAAAGTAGTGGCTCGTTGTTTGGAAATTAAGGTACACTACTTTTTTCTAGATCTTTGAACCTTATTTGGAGATAAGGCTAATGTGTGTATTTTTTAAATTATGAATAACTTGGTACTTTACTTGTTATAAAGTCAAAATAATGAGTACAGCCATGGAAACGGTTGAGCTGTTAAACACCATTAACGAGTTAAAACAGTCTTCTATCTGTTATATTACAACATGAACCTGCAGCTTATAAACAGGTGTGCCTCATAGTCTAGTGTATATAACTATATTATATATACTTGGCATTTAAAGAATGCTTTTAGAATAAAAAATATGCAGAATAATTTGACCAACTACAATTATATGGTCATTCATACATCCTTGTGAAAGGAAAGGAGATTTAATGGCAGATTCTGTTATTCCCCAATTAAAAATATCAATTTATTTATTTGAAATTGATTCTGTCGATATCTATACACAATGGTATGTTCGCTTGTCCTTCCACTCTCAACTACCATGGCTATGTACAAATAATGAGTATGAGAATTTTTGATCATTTAGATTATTTTATTTTAATTTTTACTACATCAATTTATGTTTTTTCCAAACAATTTAGCAAAAAATAAGTAAAAAGCATAAAGAGTAGGTGTTACTGACCCCTCTGTCACTTGCACTCAGCTCCTCTACGCCCACCACTCCTCTCTCATAAGAGTCGGCTCGCTCCACTTTCCATGACAAGTTCTCGATCTCTGCCTCCAGCTGCGCCTGCTGGTATTCAAACTGAAAAAAGGAACAGCAGAGTTTAAAACTAAAATAAAACATTTATTTTGGACATCTGGTTTAAACTCACCAGTTTCTTGCGGGGACCAGATTCCATGTAATACGCATAGGGATAGGTGTACTGTAATGTGTAACGACACTGGAGAAGAAGAAAACGTTGCAATTTAATATTTTAGAAAAGTAAGACAAAATATGTCACTCTTTATTGCGTGAGCACTACACTAGGGCACTTTTGAAAAGGATATAGATAAGATAAAGATATATTTTTTACCCAGACAAGTACCTAGACACCGAGTACTTGTGCACAAGCACCGGTATTCCGATGGATGTGATTCTAAACAACAAAGGGCAAATAAAGTGAATCACCCACCAGGGTTTCCTCCAGAGGGGGGATGGGGGGGGGGGGGGGGGGGGGGATCAGTCCCCCCTAGCCATGGCCCTAGGGGGGGGATATCCCCCCCTCAATTTTCTTAGACATGCATGTATACAATTCTCACATCAAAAAGTGCAATAACATTATTTTCATTGGGATACATCTGATCTGGCTCACTGTCTAATCTATAATCTAAAACATGATGATAGTAAAATAAATTACACCAAATCAGAAACTTCCGTACAGGAATAATGTGTTCTGAATAGGAGTCTCCTCAGCTGAATAGCGGTTCTCTTTTGAAGTCTTGCAGATTTATTTTTAGCGTGATTTTCACTGTATATGAACTTGGTGTGTTCATCCTGATTGGCTAAGGAAGAACCAGTGTATTGTGTTCTGCGTCCTGATTGGCTAAGGAAGAACCAGTGTATTGTGTTCTGCGTCCTGATTGGCTAAGGAAGAACCAGTGTATTGTGTTCTGCGTCCTGATTGGCTAAGGAAGAACCAGTGTATTGTGTTCTGCGTCCTGATTGGCTAAGGGGTAATTCCTGTGCCGTGTTTCCTGTATCACACAGCATTCAGCTTGATAAATGTAAATCGATTCTGATTGCAGTATGACTGTAAGTGCTGTATGCTAATTTTCTCCTTGACAAAACCATGGACTAAACCCACAACATGGTTAGTGCTAAAAAGTTGAACTTCTGGACATGTTGCAACGACAACAGCAAAGAGGAGCACGGTGCGGAGCCCAGGCCGTTGACGAGGGACTTTCATGCAGCACTAAGCCCATTTATTTCAAAACATTTTACAATTTTGATTTCAAGATTTTAAAAGGCTATAACTTTAAAGTTTGAGATAAAGGCATTTTGTAAATGAGAAATATCTTCAGTATGAACCAAACTTTGGGATGGAAGTCTATTCGTCATCTAATTTGCATATTGTGACATCATCAAGGTGGTGGCCATATTGGAAAATGTTAATTATTGTATAAAGATTTCAAAAAGCTGTAGTTTGAGAGTGTATTTTGAGATCAGGGAATACCATCAACAGTCTACGTGAAATATCTTTAGTATGAAAACACAATGTGGGATAGAAATAAATTCACTGATCCAATTTATATAGAATATTTTAGCACTGGTCAGCGGCCATATGGAATTGTATTATGTATTAGACCTTCAATGATCAAGATGGCACTGCTTATTGTTTACAGTCATGAAATCTGCACTTTGGTTTCAATATTACCCTTTCAAAAGACCTGGTGGCATACTGTTTCTCTCAGTGGAAATGAGGCTCCAGAATTCATCGTTTAAAACAGAGCGATTAAATGAATGGGCTCAGAACTTGTCAGATTGTCTCAACAATAAACAACAGGCTCTTCAACATTTCTGATCCACTTTTATGGATTGTCTTACTCTCTGCCTTCATCATCATCATCGCCGTCCGTAAAGGCAAATTAGTGGTGCGTTCTCTTCCGTGGCTTCTGCCACGTCTCCCTGCGTTCCCCGCGGTTGTTTAACCCCGCTGCATTCACCCATATGCCCCGGTGTTATGATCCCCCTGTCCCCTTCACCACGTCTCCTGTCTGGTGTTCGCAGAATGTTTCCACTGTGGCCGCACACCGCGGTAAAGAGGTCCGGCTTTTCGGAGTCAGCGGTAAAGAGGTCCGCACATTAAAAGCGGGTGGCTGCTTTATGTTAAAAAGTGCATCGTGGCGGCTCATCCCCACGTCTTCTCTTTCCAATGTTGCTGTAATTAACAGCACAAAGCGGCTACCCGCTTTTAATGTGCGGACCTCTTTACCGCTGACTCCCAAAAGCCGGACCTCTTTACCGCGGTGGCCACACGGAGAACGTAAACTGTGGACTATTGGGGCGCGGACTCCTGTCACTAATAATGTCTGTATCTGCTTCACTGGAGACCTGCGTGTCTTCCTCTTCTGAATCTGAATGAGCCAGTACCAAATACTTCTCTGATCTCTGGAGACCTCTGGGCTCTGCTCTGGCTCCGCTCAGAACTACTGTACGGCTCCTGCTTCGCGTCGCTGCGCCACAGGTGTTTTACAAACTCATTTTACTCTAATACTTTGAGTATAACCATTCCCACAAAGGCCGCTCATATTAAAAGGCACACATGTCCACTAACTCCTCGTGAAAAGTATTAACAAAAATTACTGCAATAAACGTGTGTGATTATTATTTTTTTCTGAGGCATTGGACCTCGAACCCCGTGGTCCCCCCCTCAAACAAATTCCTGGCGGAAACACTGCCCGCCCTATTCACCTAATGTGCCTCCTCCAGAAAGTGAAGTTATTTTAATTTACACATTTTTATCTCCGCCCTGGCCTAGATACTCTTCTGGTCTTTTTTTGTATTTGAGTGTTATCATTACATTGTAGCAACAATTTAAACTACAACAAAAACTACCAAAAACATGATTTCCCAAACTCAGTAGCCATGATGTAAAGTGATCTGTCATTTTGCCTGGTGTGTACCTTGGCGAGCAGCTTGGCAGCGTTATGCAGATACTGCCAGTCGATCCATGTGCCAAGGTTGTTCATGACTCTCTCGTGGATTTTCTCCTGAATCCTCTGATACGTCTGAGCCTCCAGCTGCAGAGACTTGTTGTGATTCTCCCACTGAAAAACAGAAAATAAAACTTTTCAAAATGTGCACTGTAAAATTAAAACCCTGCACAAGTAATAATGCAGAGAGACTAATGTTGGTCCAAAAATTTTGGGGCACAGTATGAATCCCACATCACACTCAGGTCCAGAGGTTCCGAAGCCTCAGAGCAAAGGGAAAGGTGTGGCGCTGTTGTCATTCAAGAAGTGGAATGAGTTGATTGCGAAACAGTCGGCGGGAGAGGTGAAGGAGACAGTGATATATGAGCATGTCTCAATAAGAGGGCAGGTGCTGAAATCTAGACAAACTTGCAGTGTACTAGAGAATGTAGATAGATTTTCTTACATCTCTTAATAAAACTACATTAGTCTGTGTGCTTACCCTCTCAAAGTAGAAGAGATATTTCTTTAGCGCCTCTCGGGCCTGCGCCTGTTGGCTCTGGTTCACTATGTCGGGGTTCTCTTTATAACGGCTGCATTCGTAATATTCACTGCCATGAGTCTTCCAGTCACCCAGACACATCCAGCAGAAGTCTGGGAGGAGCAGCAGCAGAAGTAGATTCAACATTTCAGTAAGTTGATCCTAGCCATTCAAAATAATAAAAAGGGGACAAACACTTACCATGTTTACATTTGGAGCATTGCTGTATCAAGGAAAGAAATTCAAAATTAGGAAAATAAACGTTACATTTTCAAGTGAAGCCTTTGTAAATATATTACGCGTGAAGGAATTCACAGCACTTGCATGAAAGCTTTGAGGTTTTTGCAAAATTATTTTTTGAACACCTCAAAAATTGATAAGTCAAAACTACATAAGCACAGATTTGTGCTTACGTGACTCAACTTTATAGAGAGTTCTCAGAACAGCTTGTATTAGAAGTGCATGAGTAGCAATTACTCACCATGTGATTGCACCCCCCATTTTTCTCAATGCAGATATTGCACTTCGGACACTGAATAAGAAGAAAGGAAGAAGTCATAATCTAGCAGTGACTATTCTGTATCAGGAACATACTAATGGAACAAAGTTGTATCTTTTATTTATCCAATTCACAATTTCTAAAATCCCATACATCTTTAGTGTGTGCACTGATGTAGTTTGCCGTCTCAGAGTCGTCTGCACATTTAGTCAGCCATTTCCTAATGGTTGCACAATCTGTGGGCGCGTGGTACATCTGACGGCATTTAAAGCTACAGGACAGAGAAGACAAACAGTAAGACTGTTAATATTCCAGTGGAAGCACATGTTTTTATCCAGTTCCACATAATGGTACATTCTGCATTTTAGAGACAAGCAGGACAGTGGTCTCCCCCAACATATACAAGGGTTTCCACCGCCATGATAATAATACAGAATCCTCCTCAAGCTATTGTGGCTAACTCGAATTTGCCATATTTAGAGCCAAGACAAAAAAACTGTGGTTAGGAATGTATGAGAACATATAGGAGTATTCTGCTCATTACCAAAATACTTCAGAACATCGACTGCACTGCACTCGACGTGCTCTGGGCTCCTGGACTTTAATCACTATGGGACAGTCTGCTCCAGGACACAACTGCAACTGGAAGTGACTCTGAACAAGACAAAAGGAAAAAACAAACTAATTGAAAACACAAGTTTAGCATAAATCTACCTTGAAACATACTGCCAAAATCAAAAGAGATATTCTCTAATAAGCATGAATATGAAAAACCCATAATAGATCAAGACTTAAAACCATAGACTCAACTATAGATGCAGACTCACCTCTACATAGTCTCTGAAGAGGTAGCGTCTATATTTTTCTTTCAGCTCATCACCGGGCAGCAGTGGCAAAACAAAGTCCTCTGGAATCCGCAGAGAGCATTCCTGAGCCATACACGAGATACCTGAAAAATGAATGCCAACTTTACAATACAACAATCTTCATCAATATTGAACACCTCATAACATAGGACAGTTTATTTTTATTATTGGATTTGTGATTAAGAAAGAAATTACACTGAACAAAAATGAAACACAGCAATTTTATTTTTGCACACATTTCCCATGGGTTAAACCTAAAAATATAATATATAATATGTACATTTGCTGAATAGACCCATCTCTCAAATATTATTCACAAGGGCCTGATCACAATAAAAATAAAAACAAGCATTGATCTTTGAGAGTATGTTCAGATATTATTACCTGTTAATATACAAGTGATCACTCCTGTGCAAAACCAAACCCAGCAAATTATAAGTGAGATACAGCTGTATTTAGTATGTTGCAGTATCTGAATGCTGCTTTTCATAAAATTATAATTTTAAAACTACCACTAGAATCATTTGGGTTGCCAATTTAAATAAACAGTCAACGATGATAGGCGGTAGGTTTTTTTGGTGTAGCAAAGGGATGTAAATCGGTGACTGTTTAACTGGTGGTTGACCGTCACAGCGTTAACCGGTCAAAGCTGTCTGTTAAAAATAAGAAAAGGGGGAGAGGGGAGCTCTCTTAATAACGCTTTTTTAAGCCCTATTTGCACGATGCGACGAGCAGGTCCGTATCTAGCTGTGTGCGCCAATGCATTAGTAACCTACGGGCCGACGTTCATGCCGCACGCTCCACAAATACACGTGGGCACGCACACACACTTTCCCCCTCTCCATACGCAACATCCACACGCATCATCTCTCCCCTCTGTTACCGCCAAAGTTCCACACTAGTGCAGGTCAGAACTACATTGGAGCTTATATTTACACACACATACCGGTCTGTCGCGCTCGTCTGTGTCACGCAGCCCAAAGGTTCCTCGCAAATACGCGGCCCCAGTCAAACCCATGAAACATGTTTGTGCTGATGGTCCTTGACATTAGATCAGCTCCACACACATCACTTGTATTTAAACTTTAGAAGAGACGCGGCTCGTCACTCGCTGCTCTGACCATGTGAACGAGCCGTCGTTTGCTGCTAAAAAGTTTTAATCCGCAGCACAGAAGAATGGGAAGAATCTGTGCGCAAAGGTGCCGAAGCTGTTGCGGGTTTTGGCGCCGCTGTCTCGGCTCTGATCCAGTAGAACGCAGAGCTGCACTTATGAAAAGTACGCGGCTCGAAATGGCTGTTATATAAAAGAACTTGGAATATTTTAAACTACGCGGTTAACCGGTTTCAACCGGTTAATGAGGCTCGGTGGTCGGTCATGAAAATTCATAGTTTTTTACATCCCTAGTGTAGCAGCACTAAAACAAAATAGTGTGATGGCAAAAAATACTAAACCATGGTTCAGGCATAATGAGTCATTTTAATGGTTAAAACATTGTTTAATGGGATCTGGTTTATGGGAAGGTTTGTTGGGAGAGGTTTTACTAATAAGACAGTGAATGACCATCTCTTGGTCCGTGACCGTTTCCCTTATGTGGATGACGTGACCTTGGATGGGGACAACAGTAGTCAAAAGATCAAGGAGCAAATCTTGGAGTTTCTTTAGTCTAATAATTGAAACACAAAATAAAACCAGCAGGCAACATGAGTCTTTCATTCATTACATTGCTTGGAGGTTATATAAATATTTGGCCTGAACGCTGACCTAAATGCTTCATTAATGTCACTTATATTTAGCTTCTATTAAGTGCTTTCAAAAGTTAGTGGTTTTGTCAGGGTGGACATAGCAGCTGTGTAACACTGACCCAGAAACATGTATGCAGAGCACATATACACTTATCACACGTTCAATGTCCCAACTATTGTTGAACTGATGGCTTTAGAGTCAGGCCTTGCTTTGTCGGGCAAGTACCATTTCATTTATATCTTACTTGCCCAATGTCAAAAGTTACTTGCCAAAATATTTATTGACAGTGTTGAGCGTGAACGAGTTCAAAAGAACACGCTCATTTTTTCGTGAACGTTGAACTGAACGCAACACATTTTTAAAAAAAGAACTTAATTAGTGAATTAGTTCATTTTATGTGTCATGAACGGCAGACATCGCTATGAACGTTGGAATCGGTTTTCTCTTTTGAAACGCAACGAGAGAAAGTTCCTCCCTCCTGTATTCTCGCACTTTTTCCGCCGAAATCTAAAAATTCCTACGGTTTCCACCGTCTGTGAACGCACCCCGATTCTGTGTTGCGGTGCGGAGCTGTGAGCTGGTGCTTTTCACATGTGCCCGAGTCGTGATGAAAACACAGGGTGAGTTATCGACAAAGTTTACACCGTTTACATTTGACATAAAGTATAGACACACGCACTGCAGCGCATTACTGTTTGTAGTTTATGAGCAGAGATGGAGCAACTCCGTTTGGCTCCCATTGGTCTGTTTTGTAGTCAAAAGGCTCTCCTCCTGTGGGTGTACAGGAGATATATACATATATATAGCTTGTAGTGTGAAAAAAATATTTATTTAAGTATCTCACGAAAAAAGTATAATGAACTGAACTTTGAACTAGTTCAGAATTAAACATGTGAACTTTGAACGTGAACTGTTCACTTTGAGCATGTATGAACTGAACTTGAACTAGTTCAGAAAAGCTGTGAACTGGAACAACACTGTTTATTGATACAATGAGTTAACAAAAGTTTGGCAATAAAGTGGCATTAACTATGTGGAAAAAATATAAAATATCCATTCTCAGCCCAAAAAGTTAAATAATGACTCACAGGGCTCTTAGGTTTGCAAAATAAAAAAACAAGACGCTTGTTGCTGTGTGTTATGCTTGATTAGTCCACAACATTTTACTTTTGGGCCCAACCAACATGCATTGTTAATACAGGCAAAAATGTAGGTACCTCAGCTTAAATTTGATTTGATTTATATAAAATTTTGGTTGCGCTTTGGTAGGAGACACGGGGGACACACGGAGGAGACACGGAGGAGACACGGAGGAGACACGGAGGAGACACGGAGGAGACACGGAGGAGACACGGAGGAGACCCGTACTTGCAACAAACTGGGGATGGTGCTGCCCGCACGTCTGTGGTCATGTCCGCAACGTCCGTGGTCATGTTTGCACGTCTGTGGTCCGCGCTCGGTACCACATTAAGGCTGTGATATCACTCACCGACTCCCATGCCGTCTTTGACCAGGACGGTGCAGTGCTGCTCCCAGCATGCCTTGCAGAAGGAGTGTTGACAAGGTAGAGCTACAAGCGCATCTCTGCGGACCACCTGTAGGCACACGCCACACTGCAGTGGGGGGAAGCTCTGCACCAGACAAAAACACAACACACCATTTAGAAATCCACCACAACTGTCCATCTGTGTATGGACTGTGTTTGTCCATCCAAATGTTTTCTTTGGTCATTGGAAACCTCCCATGCATTTTGAGATTGTATGCAGAAAGGCAAAAACTTGTTTATCATAATCCATCATTTTAAAAATTATACTTAGAACATTTCTAATCCAATATAAAACAGACTAAATAACATTATGTAATAATAAATTAAGGATGCGATTAACCAGTTATCCTATGGCACAATGACTCATTTTCTAAACTGCTGTTGGAAAATCAACAATTCTGTGAGGCCCCAGAGGCAACTGCTGTAGTGACTTTGGTAAAAAAAAAAAATATGAATTGAAGCATCACAGATGATTAATATATAAAAGAAGTGCACAAAGTGTGTTTTTATAATAGTAACAATAGCTTAAAATAGTGGAATACATCTTGAAAACAATCATGTTTATAGCGTGTGCACTTGAACTTGTGCTCCAGGTGTAACGTGCAAAGTGTCACTCACAGAGACAGATCTGCAGCTGCTGATCGGCTGAACCAGAGCATCTGACAACAGCAGCGATGAGTTTAACTTGTATCTGAGAAGAAAGACAAGAGAGAGACATGAGCAGTGAGCACTCCACAGATGTGCTTTCAAGTTTCATTCGTGCACCATACCTCTCTATGATCTGTGAAACCTGCCAGTGGAAATGCACTAGGATCAGCTTTGCTTCAGATGGTAAAACCTACAACAGAGAATTAAGAAAATGTAACACTTTCTTCTTGGCCGTTGAATGTGATCCTAAGCGATTACCTCCATCCCTCAATGAGCACTAGTGAAGAACTGCATAACACGCAGAGTTCAATTCAATTTTATTGACACATGAAAAACAAAACTGTGTTTGGCTTGACAAACCAATTCTAGTCAGATTAAGCCAGCGTGCATACATGTAAACCGGATACTACTGAGACAAGGCCTATCTTTTTCAATCAGGCCAAAGTGTCAAACTCAAAGTACAAGTATATGTATGCAAAAGAGATATATATTTTTGTTTAAATGAGATGAAGACGTTTGATCCCCAGTTTGCATATTCTCCTTTGTCTGCGTAGGTTTCCTGCGGGTACTCCATATTCTCCTACCACAAGAAGCATGCACTCACAACACATCCTTAACTGTTGTACAACTGAGGGCGTAAAATGCAAATCAAGCCAAAATCTGAAAGTGTGTTCATTAACATGCACTGTGCCAACCAAATATACAATAAATGTTATGATTAACAAAAGACTTTCAGTTGAGACAAACAAATGCATTATTTTTTAAACAAAGGTAGATACTTCAGCTTTAAGAAAAAGTCACAAGTAGGGGTGTGACGATATATCGATATATCGCGATACTTTCTCCCGCGATTCGATTATCAATATTCATTTGCCAAGTATCGATATCAATAAAAAAATAAAAATATATATATTTTTTTTACATATTTTTTTAAAAATTGGTATCAATACTTAATATATGGCTACATTACGCATCTCCATTCTATTTATCATGAAATAAAGAGTATTTTTTCTTTTATTTATGCCATAAATAGGCATATTGTACATTTCTAACCAATATATCAATAATCGTCATATCGTGATAAAATCGTTATTGTGATATCGTTATCGTGATATTATCGTTATCGTGAGCTTTGTATCGTATCGTGAGGTACCCTTAGGTTCCCACCCCTAGTCACGAGGCAAGTCAAGAACAATTAAGAACTCCAGCTCCAACACAAACTCACCTTGAGCGCTGCCGCCACCGCGTTGACCTCCTCCAACAACACTCTCTGGCTCTCCTTGTAGGTGAGACAGGTGAACAGATACTCCTCTGGGTCAAACGAGTCTGCCCCCTGCTGTTCCACGTCACTTGCTACATCATCATAATAGCCATCCATGTCTCCCGTCTCCTCCTCCTCGTCGCCGCCATCATCATCATCATCCTCTTCCTCAGAGTTCACAAAGTCTTCCTCGTTGCTGTCTGACGCCTGGCTGTTCATGTCCACGGACATCCACACCCCACTGGCCCAGACAGGTAGACGGCCGCCTACCCGCCCGCACGCCTGCTCCGATTGGCTGAAATGATTCAGCCAATGATTCCTTTCTTGTCCAGAGACTTTTCTTCAGCAGCAGCGAAAGAAGCAAAAGAAGTCACACTCCCCGTCACTCATTTGGAAGGTTTTATAGTTGACTTGAGCCAAGATGAAACAGGACTCTGCAGAGAAAAGAGCAACAATTACTAGTACATTAACCGTTTGAAAAGTTATGATAAATGTAACTTTATCATCATCAAATTATTATTTAAAAAAAAGGATCCAAGTATTGCCTTTCATATTTATTCACAAACACCACAAGATAAACATGTAGGGGAAATACAAAACAAAACACTCAACTTGTAATTGTTTGCATCATTGCCCTTGACAGTGTCAAATGTCTTCAAGGCAGACTGATAATTTTGAGACACTGTTGCCCTCGTTATATTTTGACAAATAAAAAGATTGCCTTCCTTTTTGATTAAAGTGTTCAGATAAAAACTACATGAAGTGATTTGAAGTAGATTGCAAACTTTGGCAGAGCTTAGACACACATTTGTGCAGGCACCAGCTCCAGTGTCCTGAGTCATCTCAGTTACAACCCAATTATTTAATGCCAACTAAATACACTTTACCTTTGTTGGTTTGAATATTTGGCATTGTGATATTGACAAACAGAGGATGGGTCATGGAAGAGAAAGAGGAGTATGATTTTTGTTGGAAATGAGGATGTATCATAAATTACAATAATGAATTGGGGGATTCTGTGTTAAGAAAAGACTAGTCCAGGAGAGTGCGAGGCTATCCCATTCAGCTACAATATTGAAACCAGCATCTGTCCATACCTTAGCCCAAGTATTAAATTAAGTAAACTATGCTGCAGGCAAAATGACTTATTTTATTGGAACTACAAATATGTCTGATTATTCTAAGTCAACAAAAGTACAGTAATGCGATTTGTGCTGAGCGGAGAGTTTCCCACGAGTTTCTCCTGGTTTATAATCCTACTCAACACGTGCCGCAGTCCAGTGTTACCGCTTTGGGGATTAACTCTTTTGGGGCTTAAACTGCGGCCCACACGTGGACAGAAACCAAACAACATGTAAACACACAAAGAAACACATAAGAGCTTTAGATACAATGTTTTGCAAGACAATGCAAGTTACTCCGCAAAGTGAATGAGCAGCGTGAACCATCCTCTCATTTCTAAAAATAATTAACTTTATTAGCCACAAAGAATTCAAATGTGGAAAGACTTATCAATGGGAGAAGCCCCAGACTAAGGATACAAACTGTAGCTCATGGAGGTCTGGTTCTATATATAGACAGAGTGAAATACATCCAGCTTAAATCTCACAGTCAGCAGCAGCAGTTTGATAAGAGCCAAGCAAGCAGAGAGGAGGGGAGACATGGAAAAGTTGCACATGCTTCCATAAGAAGTGTAAGATTTCAATACTGCTATGGAAATACAGTTTACAGATTAAGTTTACTTTAAATTACTGGGGTAGAAAGCTTCAAGCCAAAAGGAGTTAATGCAATCAAACCGCCTCTAGTACTAGACCAGAATTACTAATAATAAAACTTTCTTGATGCCAGTATCTATATGGTGGAACGGCAGAAAAGCAAAACAAGAATCAACAACAATCTTGATTCTAGAGAGTACACATTAGACTATAGATGAGTAGACAATAACTTCAAATAACTTTATACACCAAAGTTACCCAAATGAATACAAAATATGAAATAGCTAAATAACAATCTATACCCATATCAATATCAGTACATTCTGAGTAAGTGTAGAAACAGGCATTGTACAACAGACCTTATGTTGCAATGTTGTTACTGCAAATGTTCAGTTTCCCCTTTTTCATCACAAGACTAAAGCAGTCTACAAGATTAATTATACTGCTATTGTAACACATTATAATGCAGGAAACCCTTCTATAAATAATAGTGTGATAAGATATTGCTTTTAAAATATGCACACATCAGCATTGTTTTTCAGTGTCCTTTCACTAAATAAAGCTAGTTTACCCGTAGAGATAAAGTGACCAGACAGATGGGAAATGATGAGTGACCAAATATGTGCTTTATTCGCCTGGAGCCACATGATTTTAATCAATACTATATCATGCAAAGATACAAGTAACTTGGAGTAAAAGCAGAGCATTAAAAAAACATGTTTTCAGGAATGTACAGAGGCATTAGATCAGATTGAATTATCAAGGTTGTCTTGGTGTAACTGATAACATTTGTCACATAATCTCATAAATATTATCATCGCTGTGCCACTGATGATTTGGCTAAACCGTTAGCACGATTAGCTCCTGTGCTAACTCTCAGTGTTTTACTATACAGCAGCACCAACACAGGCGATCAAAAATCACGCCTGTTCACGTTTATGTTAACAGAGGACCCAGACTTAAAGTTCTTCACAAAGACTAACTCTGAGAGCGAGTGATGAAGCCCACCCAGCCGTGTCTCAGCGCCGCCTCTAAGACACTCGAGCCCGGGGATGGGGATGTAAACAAGGCCCGCTGCGGCTGGATGATGGAGGCTCCTGGGTCAGAGAAAGTGTGGGCTTTACCTGGATGTGCAGCTCTGCTCTGGTTCGCGGTGATCCCAGAGGACGCTCAGTTTGGCGGAGAAACGTGAAGAAAGTGCGATTTTCACTGAGTCCGCGAGGCTGGACCTGGAAGTTCCACGGTCACTGGGACTTATGGGGACGTCACATCCGGTTCTCCTGCAATCAAAATATAGACCTCATCAAAACACAACATCAGATTACTCTATGCCTTCATCAATCAAAACCATATATAAATATATATATATAAGTGTATATTGTATATTATATATCTCTTGTCCGGAAGTAGTGTTCTTTATCATCCAGAGGTGGAAAGAATTTCAGTAAAAGTGTAGACACAGTCTATGGTAGTCACTGGTAAAAAACAACTCTAATAAATTGACATTTTAAGCATTTTCTTTCAAAAACACAGATAAGTATAGACCCCAGCAAATAAAGAAAACATGTAAGACGGAACATGGCTCACCACGATGAATTAATTCACTAAATCATGCCATCATGTAATGCTATACAAGTGTTTACAGAGCCTTGACCTTGTCAGGAATAATAAATTGAGGTTTCTGAGATTAGAACACACTTTTTATGGCCGAGTAAAGAGAAACTTCAGGTACACATTGTGTACAATAAAACAATAAAATAATATATGGAGGGGGGGGAATCACTTTGTTCATTTAAAGTTTATTACCAAAATACTTTGTACAAACACAATTTACACCATATTTACAAACAAATACATTCATAGTAAATTTAGACAAAACCTGACAAAAATAGAAAACAAATTTAAAGAAACATCGCATAACTATCCCAGTACACAATACCTGCACAGTTCCAAGGAAATGGAAAGTTAAAATCTTATTCTGAATAATTCTTCACGGAACCTTTACCATATTGCGACAAAGGGACATTTTCATGGAAATGGGCAGAGGGAAATCGACCTTCAGACCAAATACGAGTCAGGTTTCCAAAGATGAAAAATGGCTTACATTAAGGGTACAGTAGAAACATAGTTGTCAGTGAAAAAAAAACCAACGGGTTATCACACTGTGAGGTAATTATCAACACGGAACTTTACACTTGGAATGAAAGGCCTCTGTATCTCTGTGTGTACTATTTACCACTTATACAATTGGTTCTTGATGAACCTAAGAGCTAACCCAAAAAAATAAATCCTAGACTTACTAGGATTAGTACTTAGTTTAGGCATGCTTATTATGTTTTAATGATATTTTAAAAAATATATCTACAGACATACACTTATTTCGGAATTACATTTTCTCAAATGGAAATAAATGCTCTTGCCCTTTCTTGCTCTTTTTAGATTTTTTTTTGCCCGTATCTTCCTCTGTCTGTCTGTTTTGTGGCCAGGACAGGGCTAGTGTTTCTGAAGCAGTCTTTGCATTCAGGTCATGGTCTTCTTCATCAGAGGAGAAGCCCCCGGTCTCCCCCTCAGGCCCATCCTTGGACCCCACAGCTCCAGGTTTAGTGTTGTATCGCTGTTTGAGACGCTCACGAATCAGTAGGCCTTTAACCAGCAGAGTCCAGTTGGAAAGGGCCTTCTTTTCGCGCTTCTGAAAACATAAACATTTGGTTTTATACTTCAATAAATTACAAACTACAAATCACTTTACAATTAAAAAAATACAATTGTTTTAAAATTGTAATCCGTAGGAGAGTCAGCCTGTAACTATTTGAAAAAGGGAAATCAAACTATTGTCTACTATCTGACCAGGATATCAAACCTCTTAAGGAACAAAATTGCAACCCGGATGGCCTATGAAGAAATGGTGATAGTAAGGGCCCTGGTTTTTGAGCACTCGGGGCATTCACGCCCAAACTGGTGAAGTGGTTACAGCAGATCCCTACCTCGGAAATCTCGGTCCAGAAATGTGCAATGCTAGTGATTGTGAAGATACTGCGCATAAGCTTTAAGTTCCCTGGACCCGAGCAGAGGGAGATAAACATCCGCGGAAGGTGAACATAGACTTTCACTACTTATTATATTTCTTTTGGAAAGTTCTCCGTTGTATCGGCTATTGACCAGATGCATCAACGTCATCCAGTCACGTGATTGTGAATGAGCTTACGGCGGAAGTATTGGAAACTAGCATTGCTGCGAGAGCAAAACGGACACAACTCTTAAAAACGGAGCTTCCTCTCCTAAATCACTTCCACCTACGTTATAGGTGGAAGTAGGACATCAGGTCAGGGCTCACAAAGAGTGGTATTTGGAGAAGTTAAGGATTGCCTAACTGGATGTTGACCCGTACCTTCTCCCCCCAGTCAATTTTATCGATTAAATAAAATGTCTATTTTTGCCCAAATTCACCCTACATGATCTTTATCATTATCGATAACAATGCATCCCCTTACACTGGAGCAGATTTATATGTACATTTTGCTGGTAGCATTAGCAATAGTCCACTTTTCTGTGGCTTTTCTGTCTACAGCCAAACATGATACGTACTGACGGAAGGGAAAATAGTGAAACACGCAATTGACTTAAAAGATAAAAATGTCAATGTTGCAGCGCACATACAGGACAGTAGTAAGAGACACGTTTGACGTGTGTCATTGTCCTCCAAATTAATGGAAATAAAATAAATACAAACTTGTGATTGCTTTATCTTGTAAAAAGTGTTCACTGCATATTAGGGAGTACTTGGATGGGTCCCAGTCCTTTTGGTTGATTGCAGCTGGCCATCGTCGTCTTCTGTCTTCATGACGAGCAGGTATCAGATAAAAAAGCTTATGTCCTTGCCTGTTAGTATAATCAACCGCACTGCAAAATGTCAGTTTTGGCTGAAACAGGTTGTTTTGGTCAGGTGTCCGTAGGCTCGCAGTTAGACTTCTGCCGTCTGTCATGGAGAGTGGGCGTGGCCGGGACGTCACATGCAAGGGGTCAATAGTCTGGTTCAGATCTGCCTGAAATGCTGCACTAATATGTTGCCCTTAGCCTTTTGTTATCCATGCCAAAGTTCTTATCTAAAGTGGATTGATATAGTTAAAATGCACTAATTCTGCTTTTGAGAAGTTTCAAAGCAAGAGAGGGCCTGTGTCTTGTACTCTGTATTGGTAATCTTACCTCCTTCTCCTTTTGCTTGTAGATTGCCTGCTCCTCAACCCAAGCTGCTTTCAGAATCTCCACATGTTCCTCACACACAATGTACCCATCCGTACTAAAAACAAAATGTTTGACTCAATTAGTTTTTCAGAGGTATAAAGTTATGTGCTTAAAATCATACATACAATTTCATAAAAAAGTATAACATCAAAATACAATAAATCTCTCTTACACAGCATGCGAGTATCCACCATGGAAGTCAAAGCCGGTTACAGCCGGTGCAGCATCCAGGTCGAGCTTTCTGGCGACACGGTTGAGATTTGGCAACTTCAGATGAACGCAGCCCACCGGCAACATGCAGGGCTTGAACAGGTATACATTCCCATAGTCGTTACGGGGAACCTACATAAACAAGACATATTAGATCAGGTGTACAGAATACATTGATTGCAAAGGCAGGGTGGGTAGTTCACATCACATTCAGGGCACTGGCCTATTTGCATTTGATTTTAGTCATACACATTCATATGCTCTAATGAGACATTAGAAAGAATGGAATCGGTGAAGGCAAATGTTTTTAACTTTAGACATCATTTGTGATTTTTATACCTTTCCATCGACAGCTATAGGTGGCTGGTAATTCTCCGTCTGCCACTCTCCATACAGAGCCAGGTCGTTGTCATCTTTGCTCTCTGACATCATTCTGGCTTTACGAGAGCGATTAGAAAATCCTTTCACCATCTTAAGAGGACAATGATACACATTTGTGAATTGTAGAAGTCATAATTCAATAAAACAAAAGGTTGTAAAATGTCACCAATCCGAACCTTATATGGTTCTTCTCCCAGTCTGACCGTTTGTGCCTCTTTCAACCACGTGTCTTTGGAATGAAGTGTGTGCACGCAATCCCTAGAAGAAAAACAATTAATTCTACCAAAGATTTACAAGTTGATCTTGTGTTATTGCAGATGAATCAGACAGTTCAGCACACACCTACACACAAAAGCGCACACACTCGTACCTGGAGTAAACAGCCTCTCCTCTGCAGTAGCCCAGGATCGCTGCGGTCTCTGGGTAGATGGCCTCATATTTGAGCAGGTGTCTCTTCAGCGCATACAGAGGATGGTTCTTGTACTCTGTGATGGACACGGGCAGAGGCTTACTCCTCAACTTTGACTGCAGCTGGAGAGCGACAGATATGTGAAAATAGTAATGGTTAAAAAACATGTTTTAGAATACAAAAATAATCAGAAAAAATGAATACTATGTGACACTGCTTCTCAAGTACTTAACAAGCAATGTCTATTAATAATACCATGATATTATTTTAGGATGAATCCAAACTATGTTATCTTTATCTTATCTTTCGTGCCTGTGAAGCACTTTGGCAGCTGGTGTTGTTGTAAATGTGCTATACAAAAAAAGTTGACATTGACAATATCTGATTTAATTCAATTCTCAAACTGGTGTTAAAGCTGGGATACCTAACCAAAATAATAATAATAATAACGCTCCATCTCAGTATGCATCTTTTCTAATAAGATGAAGACTTTTGTCACTTAAACAAAGCTCTTTCGTTTGATACTTCAGCTTTAACAAATATGCTCAAAGAAACACTCTTATTGTTATTATTTGACTCAATCAAACCTCCTTGTCCTCCTGTTTGTCCCGCTCATCCTCAGGTCCTAAGAAGGGCTCCAGCGACTCCTCCCACCATTCTTCATCCACCCTCCTCTTCCTCGCTGAGGTCATCCATGTTGGGTCGTACTTGGAGCCCAGGTCTTTCAGGAACCCGTCCCCGTTCACAGACAACACATAAGCCAGCGGCTGTGATGCATTCTGGGATATGACCTGAGGAGATGCCACGCCCACTTCCACCTCCACACAGATCCACGTGAGGCTTTTCTCCAGAAACACTTCCACCCACTGGTCTGCTCCAGGACTGTGCTTCGGGCGCCTCGCTTTAGGCTCATTCAATACCACTTCTTCATCATCGTTCCCTTCCACTTTTTGGTCTTTGTCCTGTTCTTGGCCGATGCTTCTTCTTTTTGAAGCAGGAGGTTTCTTTTTGGTAGCCGGATTTCCCTTTGGAGATTTCTAAGGAAAACATGTAAACGTGTCCATCAGCAGCCCAATGACTTGTATTAATTCAATGTTCAATTCTATTTTAAGTTGAGCAATTTCTATGTTTTTACAGTTATGTTTTTTCCATCAGCCCCTCTGACCACCACCCATCATTCATGCACACACCAGACCTTGCTCTCGTGTTGCTCCTCCTCTTCATCACTCTCCTCTTCACTCCCTGCTCTGAACTCCTCCTCACTCCCATCCGTTCCTCCGTCACTGTCGCGGTCTTCTCTGTAGCTGACTTTGGAGGCCACACTCCTGCGCTTGCTGTTCTTAGGTCTCTGTCCAGGCTTTGATCCCTTCTCCTCTTCCTCCTCCTCCTCCTCCTCAGATTGTACTTTCTTTTTGGCTTTTTTACCTCCTCTGCCTTTTTTCTGCCCAGATGACGCCCTCTTGGATCCTGGAGAGACTTTTGGTTCAGTGGGGCTTGACTCAACTGAAGAGTTCTTTTGAGCGTTGGATTTGCTTTGGCTTTTGGTTGTTTTACCCTTGAGAGATAAAAAAAAAAAAACACATTTAAAAACAATAAAATCTTGTCTCTGTAGTAGAATTTGTTGAGGAGAATAGTCCGTTTGTCATTGGGGGTCATAGAATCTCATTTACAGAGACATTTTGCCATAGGAAATATTTTTACAATGACAATTATTTTTTTTAGCTTTTCAAAACTTGGAGAGATTACCTTTGCAGTGGATGGAGGTTTAAAAGACACAGGTTGTAAAGACAAGACCAGTCGACAAAAAAGCTGCAGAGACCGTAGCATCAACAGGAACAACTGCAACACCAAGAACCAAATCAATCTTCGATCATAAATATCACTTGTCAGACGTCTAGAGCGGATGTGGACGCTCACATGGGTCATTTCCTGGTGGTTCTTGGCTGAAAGACTCGCCAGTCTCCTCTCCAGCAGAGACCTGGGGCTGGGAGAGTCCTCACAGGGAAGACTCGGGTTTAGAGTGAAAGTGGCTTTGAACCTGAAGAAAACAATAATTAATAGACCTTTTGAAAAACATAGTAAATTGGGAAAAGTTCAAAACGCCAAAATCAGTACTGAATAGCATGACAAATGAAAAGATAAAACTAAAATCATAATTGAAAGTGAATATTATTAAACAAAAAAGTTCCTTGAAATTAAAACTATCCTCGACAATAATATTTTGGTAATAATTATTGATATTATCATGGTCTGAAACAGCTAAATCTTTAGGATGTCAAAGCCAAGTGTTACATAACTCTGATAAATTAAATAAAAACCTTTCATAATAAATTTCATTCCAAGTCTGTAAGTAAACACAAAATATGTATGTATAATGTATAGTTCAAGTACCACTTGTGCAGTCCGGAGATGTAGTTCTGGTCCATGCGTTCTTTGGCTACATTTCCAAAGTGAGCTGGAAGTAAGGACAAAGTGATGGCCAACAGATCTGGGTCACTGCACAGGGAGTTACGGAACTGAGCATTAGCCACCAGACATAACAGGTGCACCTGCAAAACAATACAATATCAATAATAACAGAAAATAGAGTGAATATGTAAGCTCTACATGTAAATGCATAAAAGGTAATAAACCTTGTGAGTGTCTATCAGAAGATCCTTCTTGTATCGGTTCACCATTCTCCGCAGATAAGCATCCATCTCTGCCTGACGCTTTTTTCTGGGAAAAAAACACAGAACTTACTCAAGTGAAGAGTTTCATTGAATGGTACCATTTGTGAATGACACAACCGTGAAGTTATCAGCAGTGCCTCCTACTAATCCATTCCAAATGTAGATACTGACCTCTTTCTGGCCTCTGGGGTCTCGATCTCGATAGCCACAGACTCAGGGATGGAGAGGGCCGCAGCGGAGGGCTCCACTGGCCCCAGAGGCTCCTCCAGCTCTGATCAACAACAAAGATAAGATAAGATAAGATTTGCTTTATTTATCTCACATAGGAGAAATTTACATGTCACTCAAGTTAAACTGTTTAAGAACCAAAGCTAGTATTACTCATTTATTAACAATACACACTCATATATTTATCATTTGCTTTGTGCCACAGTCTTTCCTGCCGCTTTTAAGAAGCAGTGCAGTTATTTTATCTATGTGCCACTATCACAGAGCACAGGTTCCCAAACTTTCACGGCATAACAACATTGAATTGATAGCCGTAATTTGGCGCATCCAAACATGTTACATTATTGTGATGGAACTTGTTGGAGCCATGTAAACTTTATTTCTCTCCAAAAATAAAGAATTGGCTCAGAAGAATGCTAAAATAATAAGTACTTCAGACCATGGGAACCACTGATCAAAAGAAATAGAAATACATATTTTCTAGAATGCCCTGAGGATTGGCTTTGGTTCAGTAGCTATTGTCATGATTCCAAACGTAAAAATAGTAAAATACAAACATTTGAATGTCTGTTTCCCCGAACAGTGTGAGATGTTCCACAGACCTTCCACTTCCTCCCAGTCATCTTCACTCTCGTCTTCATCTTTGGCCTCCACTCCAGCCTCAAAAATCACAATCTGTGGGACCTCCATGAACTCTTCCTCAGACTCCTCCTCCGTCTTCACCGGAGATTTAAAGTATTTACTCACAGACTCATCACCAGCTTTTCCAGAGGAGCCTGATTTTGTATGAACTTTTCTCTTTATGGTTTCTTCTGCATCCCCAACACCATTCACTGAGGAACATAGGAAATATTGAAAATCAAGAAAGTGTACACCATAGATTGCTGTAGTATATTTAAAGACTAATTTTTATTTGTAATGATTAAAACCTTTAGAATATTGTGTTACTCAAGCTTTGTTTCTTATTAAATGTATGCATCTTCATAGGATATTTGGACAAATTCATTTAGGAGAATAGGGCTGCACGATTTTGTCATAATAAAAACATTTTGATTCAATTTATAAAGATGGTATTGTTCATTATGGACAAATAACTTCAGGAACATCATCATTTTGTGACAAGGACAAAATGAGCTGTCAAACAAATACTGATGCAAGTCCAAACATGCAACAAATATTTTAGCTATCAGTGATTTTTAGTCAAAGTTTTAGCTAAAGTTTTAGCTACTAAACTCTGAGATCTCTCCATAAAAAGATTAATGAATAGTGTGTTGTTTGCAAGGACTACAATAATTGCGATGTCGATCTTGCAGCCCTAAAGGCGAGGATGGATTTGGAAGAAAGTTCTATGTGAGGCTAGAGGTAAAAGACTTGTAATTACGGCAACAGTCTGAATAGTATGCATAAAACTCTAAATGAGGAGTCCATACCCGCGGGTGGCTTCTTTGTCCGCGCCTTGAGCGGCTGCTGCAGTTTCGTCTTTGGGGCTTTCTCACATGCAGCTTGTGAATTTTTCTTTTTTGCCATGTTTATTGAACTAAATGTACGCTTTGTGAAGTTCAATAGTTATGTACTCCCGCACAGCGCTGCAAGGCTGCAGGACTCCACATGGAGGTTTGGTAACAGCGGAAGAAAGCACAAGTTATTCAACATTGCACACAAGAGCTTTCCACAACCACAAGCTTTCATAACGAGAGCAGCGGCGCTCCGGATGTTTTCAGTTGATGCTCTGACGTCACTTCCAGCTATCAAAATTCTGTAAATATCGTTTACCGTCATTTCACATTGTAACATACTATAATGTTGATTTGATATTTGCTTTCATTAAAGGTTTGCAAACTTTTGTATGTATGTATGTATGTATGTATGTATGCATGGATGTATGTATGTATGTATGTATGTATGTATGTATGTATGCATGGATGTATGTATGTATGTATGTATGTACATATGTATAAATATATTTAAATGTTTTGGTAGAGATTTGGGCTTGGAAATCTAACTATTGCAACAGCAAAAAATAACCACTAGAGGGCAGTGCTGTTCTGTTACTAGATTGATTTAATTCAAACCTGATTGTTTATCCCTGACTGATATCAGCAACAGTATTCTATTATGTTTTGACTATTGTGTCGACTTCTCTTTTGGAGAAATCAGCACATATTGATCTCCTCCTGTTACTTGCCCTGAGAGGATTATGGTAGCTGCCTGGCCTGGCCACCTCTGCTCCATTCCTGACTCTGAGCTCACTAATGGAATTGCTGCAGTGTGGAGGAAGGTGCCAGGTTCTTCACCAGACCTTTTCAGCTTGAAACGCTTCACATGTAGAGTTTGCAAGTGTCTCCCTGTGTCGGGGTATGGCCTGGTTAGTACTGTAATGGGAGACGTCTGGAACACCAGCCGCCATAGTGGGAGGTTGAGGCTGTGAGGTCATAAACTGTTGTTGTGTCCTTAGGCAAGACACCTCACCTACATTACTTAGTATGTGTCTGATGTGGTAAAAAATGATTAGTGGTGGTCATTGTCCTGGTGGCATACATTAGTAGCCTCACTTCTGTCTGTCTGCCTCAGGGCTTCACTTTTTACTTTTTAGTAGTTTACCACCACCGTGTACTGAATACTAAAATACAAAACATCCCTGATTGTCCAGAAAAGCTGATGCATGATTATGTTAAAAGAATGATATTGTTAGTGTAGTGACAATGTATGCTCATCACCTGTAGTTTATTTCAGTAGCTATAGAATTTTTAATGAATGATTACATAAGGTCTGTATTATTGTCATGCATAATTTGTTCTGTTCTGACTCTCTTGAATAATAATGAAATGCTGACCTTCTGAAACAATTGATTAAGTTTGATACAAATGTAAAGAAAATGCATAGGAGTAGATATTTTCTCTTTCTTTGCTACAACACCAACGATGCTTCATTTATGCTGTATTGTCATTTATCACAGATTGAAAACTAACACGGTTGCGTTGTAACACATTGCATTGTGTCCCCTGCTCCTCCTTCCTCCGTCCAAGTTCTCGGGGTAAAACCATGAATCTCATCAGGCCGAAGCAGAGAGGTCTGGGCTCTTCAAATCACATCATTTCAGTCCAATCTAAGACCAAATCAACTCCTATTGATCGATCCGCTCTCAGCCATGTCCCCTCTGTTACACTGTCATTCATTCACAGCACTTCACATTAACTGTGCCATAGCTGGAGCTCCACCGCACTTCAAAGTAATCATAGAAATAAGAATGGAGATTGATATCATATTGCTCAAGTCTGCATTTTTTCCCTCCCCCAAATAAGGATACTAATACAATACACCAGCTCAGGTGTATTGTATTTTGTCTAAATTCTGGTATAGTGAAATAGCTCATGACAATACCTCATAAATAATCTTGCATCTCCATATCGATGCTACTGTATTGATTTATTTGAAATGATTTAGTGAATGTCAATGAAGTTATCTATTGATCATTTATTCAATTAAATGTCATTTTTCAGAGGCGTACTTGCATACTGTGGTATACAGCAAAGATTCCAGGTAATCAAGTTGGTATTCCCTGCATTCCCTGCATACACAATTCACCTTCAAGACACAAGTCAAACAATCCAACATAGTACTGTTTTTTTAAAATGATTTTTATTTGCGGTCACATATTTTTAGATTTAAAACATTACTGCATTCACGCAAGTACAGGCAGTATCATGGGAAGCTATTGTTAAACATAAATTCATCCAACATTTTTTATTATAAATCAATAATTTGGTATGTTTTCTTTCTCAAAACGTTTTATTATATACGCTTATTTGAAGCTCATCATTTATCCAAGTCTGGAACTGGCACAAAGAGAGGCCTTGATAAAATATGCTGCTATATCCCCAGGTCTGTGCATGGCTTCCATCCCTATATGAACTCTATACAATCAGATAGGAATAAAAAGCCATACACAGCACTGGGACATTCAGGTGATAACATTTTTTTTTTTTTTTTTTTTTACAAATTCATTGAATATTTCATCTGACGTTTAGAGTGTAACAGCAAGAACCAACTGGGAATGTCTTGCCCATGGACACCACCACAACATCATAGATTTCATGAGTGAACACACATACAGTGATTCTGTATGGTTACCCGCTCCCTCTCTGTTGCACTTTCAATTATGTGCAACAGAAAGGGTGCCTCTCTGTTGCACATAATTGAAAGTTTGAGTGATTCATTGAAAAACATAGTTATCTGGAGTAGATTGTTCCATCTCGGGCAGCGCGCCGTCACACCTGAGACTCATCCCTCTACAGGTCATACTCATCACTGCAGGTTACAAATACAGCTATACACAATGTGCTTCAATTTCTAGTCTTGGACTTGGTCTTTCTTTCTCAAACGTCCAGATATTCCAGTTTTTCTCCTTCTTCTGTATTCAAGAGGCAATGCTCCAATCCGGGTGTAAATGGATGGTCATTTCATTACAAGTCAAGACAGTAAAAAAAAAAAAAAGTTTTAGGACAGTTTCTAGATTTAACATGTATAAACAATACATATTGGTCTGATTTACTGTTATGGCATCTGTAGTGTAACCTGCAATCTTCCTCAGTATACTATCAATCAGTTTGTGTTTTATTCTTAAAAGTGACCCTTTAAACTCATGCAGGCTCCATTAATCTGACATCTAATTTGACCGCATTGGTTTTACCTCCATGGAAATTGTGTAATGTCATTATGTAAAATTCCATAGAAAGCAATAATTATCATCTATACAGGATTTAAACCTGCTTAGGTCAAGTCAATAGCTAGGATCTTTGAATATCCAGGCTTTATCACAAATTATTTTGACCGATCACACATGGTGCCACTGGGCAAGACACTCCACATCAGTAGCCCTGTGGTAAAATAGCAGGAGGGACGACTGGGGAAGAGAATAGAATTTAGTAATTGGTTTGAAAATGAAAAGAAAATGTGCTTTGGGAATGTAATTTGGCTCACGCAGTGTTTGGACAAAATGGCTAAAAGCCTAAACTCTGAACAGGAATCAGAACCATAGCTTGACTAATCCACACTTAAACCTGGATTAAAGAAAAATTAATCCACCAGAACTAAGTCGGAAACCACAAGGGCTGTTTTAAGACTCTGGTAAACTAAACCCTGTCTTCCATGTTAGATTAGCAAACTTTTGAGTCTCATCAAAGAAGAGAGAGAAAAAAGACTTGTTTGTGTTGTTAAGATCCAGCAGTTTTTCTCCTCCATTTATATTTTGTGCGCGGAAAAGGAAAGACATTTATAAAACCATCATAGTGCATTAACTATTACACATTTTCACTTTTAGAATACATATACAATACTATGATATTTGCAAAGACTGACAACATAATTTCTTTCTAAATCGGCACTTTAAACAACAGCTTTGGTAATATTTGTATTTATTTTTGGGATTACTGTTCCAATTCTATTTGATTCATATTTTACAGGAAATACATTTGTAAGTTATACATCTTTCTCATCGCCACAGCTTATCCAAGGTTAAATCAGCCAAATCAGTTTTAGTTCTTTCAGATAAAGATTAAGGTTTTTGTTAGATCATTGAACAAACACAACTAAAACATTGAAGATTATGAAGCAGAAGCTTAAAAAGTGGAGGGAAAAACATTCCTTCAACTTCAAGGGAAAGGATATGAAATAAATCCAATTACCGAGCTGTCAGTCAGGGCGCTAATTAGAGCAACTCCCGGAGATTTTGGCAAAAAAGAGAAGCAAAAGCAATTAAAAATGCAGAAAAAAATACATAACTGTTGTCCTTAGAGGAATAAGAAAAAGTTAAGAGCTGGTTACAAAAAAAGGGAGAGGAACTGGGGTGCGGAGGGAGCAGGGGCATGGTGGTGCAGTTGAACCCAGGGATGAGAGCTGGAATGCGGACGCAGACAGGTGGCCTCCCCCCGGCTTTGGATGGATGTCTGGTTCAGTGCTCCGTTCTCTACGCTCCTGGAGTTTGAATGAGGAAATCCAAAGTGCGGTGCGGAGAGGAAGGGCACGAGGAGAGGTGCATGTGGGAATGTGAGAGAGAGAGAGAGAGAGAGAGAGAGAGAGAGAGAGAGAGAGAGAGAGAGAGAGAGAGAGAGAGAGAGAGAGAGAGAGAGAGAGAGAGAGAGAGAGAGAGGTTGTGGCTACTGTTCGTTCTGATGGGTCAGGGGGAGGCAGGGAATGTAAGTAGGGAAAGGAAATTGAGAGAAAAGGTACAAGAGAGATAGAAAAAACGACTGACTGTGGAGACTGAATAGTTTTGTGCTAGAACATTTTATTGTGCTTTATTTCATGCTTTGGGCTGGCAGAGGGTGGTCCTCTCTTTTTCACTCCTCTGTCTGAAAAATCTGAGGCTGTCTGAAATAAAACCAAATTTTGTTGAGAGCAAGAAACTCTTGTGGGTTGGTGGATTAGTACACAAGCATTTTTTACCATCTGCACGTTTTCCATTAAGTACCTTTAGTGTAAACAGGGCCTTTAAATGGACATATTTGCTGTCATTTGGTCTATCCTGA